CACTGTGATTTTCACAGTGAGAGCATGCCAGCGTCCATAGGAAAGCATTATGAATACTTTCCTATGTGACCGGCTGAATGCGCGCGCAGCTCTTGCCGCACGTGCGCATTCAGCCGACGGGGAGGAGAGAAGGAGGATCGGAGGAGGAGAGCTCTGCCCAGCGCTGGAAAAAGGTAAGTTTTAAACCCTTTCTCCCTTCCAGAGCCGGGCGGGAGGGGGACCCTGAGGGTGGGGGCACCCTCAGGGCACTATAGTGCCAGGAAAACGAGTATGTTTTCCTGGCACTATAGTGGTCCTTTAACAGAGCAGAAGTCATTTTAGATTAGACTGTACAACAAAGGAAGTTTAAATATTCAATGTATCTTTACAGGAAGTGTTTAGGAAGATTGTGCAAGAGAATTGCAGAGAATTGAGCAGTGAGACCACAGGGCATATTCTATACACCAAAACTGCCTTATAAGGCTAAAGTTGTGTTAATGCCTTAAGTATTCCTTTAATGTGCTAATAACTATATTTAATATCAATAATATATTAAGGTTATTACTTTCAGTATTACATGTGCTATTTTTTAATATATTTTATTATTGTATTAAAAAGTGTCTTTTTATGCTTTATGACCCTTATGCTTTACTAGTAACACTCCAGTTCACGTACAATATTTTTCTTAAGACACAACTAAATGGCTGGCTGAGTCTCATGGGAATAAAGTCTGCAAAACATTACTATTTGAGGTTACTACTAAATGGTTTAGTTCAATTGCTATATGCAGACTATCAGACAGCGTCCTACCTGGCCAGCAAGCAGTGCTTTCAGCTCCTGCCTGTATGTGACTGCAATAGAGAGATGTTAGCAGGGGAGAGAGTCAGAGAGGATGGACTTCAAAGTATGGATCCAGCAGAGACTTATGAAAGATGGCAGGGGGGGAAGCAGGGATGTATTCAAAGCATAAAGGTTCACAAAATGTGCAGCAGAAGCACCAGAGTGAAATATTTCTTGTGAAATTGGCTAGCAATCTATGACAGCACAGTAGGCAGGCCTGTCTTTTAGGTTAGCATATTTACTGCCCGAAAATAATACATTGGGATGAACGGTTGTCTGTTAAACAACCAATGAGGGTGATTCACACAACGTCCCATAGGATTTAATCAGATTTTTTGGGCAAATAAATTAATTTATTTTTTTATAGCAACCTAAACTGGTGGGGAGCTGAAACAGCTTCTGCAATGGATTAGCCTCCAATGCCGGCTGGTGATATCTCTGAAGCCAGCCAACATGTTGGGATCAACATTGTTTTATAGCATTAAAGAGTGGCATCATCAGAGAGACGCATGGCAGACTTGGCAGAGACAATTGCTAACAGTCTATTAAAATAGCATACTTTTGCCTACTCACACTACAATTACAGTAGGAAAGGAGAGAGGCACTAATTATGATCTCCTAATTTGTTAAACCTAGTTCTCCTAAGACTACATTCTTCTAGTCTTAAAGGGACAATCCAGACAACAAAACAATGTGCTAGGAGGCACCCTAGGGCTCTCTTACCTCAAGGAAAGAAACATACCTTTTCCAATCCAGCTTTATAAATGGGGAGTTACTGATTGGCTAAAAGCATCAGCTGACCACTCTCAGCGTCGTCCCTGCCCGGCGGTACTCTGTGCTTCCTGAGTGGAGATCACCACTGCAGGCGACTTTGTGGTTAGACCATTTGAGAGTGGTTTAAAGCCTTAAGATAAGAGTGCCACCCGGTGCCTCCTGGCACTATAACTACTTAATTTAGATGTAGTTGATTTGGTGCCTGGAGTGTCCCTTTAAGCTGCAAAACCTTTTTTTTTTTTTTAAACAAAACCACTTAACCTTACATTTTCTAATCCTAAACCCAATTCTGCTAACTCTAAGACTAATTCACCTAACCCTTAAATTAAACCAACTAAAATTTGTATAACACCATAATACTCTGTTTATTTACGTTTTCTGGCTATTCTCAGCCAACATGCACCTTTCACTTTCAGGCACATCTTCTGCTATTTATGACACCCCAGTCACCTCCCTGCTTCCCCGTCTCTAATACCTGTTGTTTTAAGTGTTAAACTCTATTAGATTGATCAGTATTACTCCAGACCTGAGGAAGAGCGGAAAACTCCCGAAAGCTTGTCTTTGAAATATGATGTAAGTACAGTAAAAAAAAGTATCATTGCATACTGTAATTTGGCACTATCATTCTTATTATTATACAGACTCTAACACCATATTTCCAAACCCTAATTTTTGTAACACTATTCCAATAATCCTAATTCTCCCAACTCTAACCCTAATTATTTTAAATTATTTAAAACTAGCCTTAACCCCTTAACCCCTTAAGGACCAAACTTGACATGTCACACATGTCATGTGTCCTTAAGGGGTTAAGGACACATGACATATGTGACATGTCATGATTCCCTTTTATTCCAGAAGTTTGGTCCTTAAGGGGTTAAAAGACCATTCGGTCCAAAATAACAATGTAATTGCAATGAAGTTGTTATGGTGTGAAGAGGTCCTGGGTGCCACCCTACTTTAACAAATTAACCTGCTAACAAACTGCTTAACTCCAAACTCTGGAAGATGGCACCCAATTGCTCTGGCCTTCTACTTAATTATTTTCTCTCTCCTACCAAAGGTCTTACGATACCTCAGTCTGCAGGTATACATTATACCTACTTAAACACAGGATTCTATTACCTAATCATATGGCAACACAGTTACCTCAGTCTCCAGGTGTTTTACCTGGGATTCTTGTTGCTAATGGAATAACACATAGTTACTATTGAAATAACTGTCTGTTATTAAAGTGGGGAATGGCAATAAACAAATGGCAATAAACAAAAATTAAATTTCTAGAATTACACCCTATTAGTGCTAGCCTAAAGTGCTAAAGAAAGAGATATAGAAATGTCTGACGTGCATTTCGTAATTGTGTGAAGTGTGGTTGGAGCCAACGCTCCCCCCAGACTGGGGAGGTGGATCTTCTTTATAGAATCTACACCCTCAGATTTCCCTGTGTGGGGTACTTGTGGGGTAGTAATTTTGGATTCATTAAAGTAAGACCATAAACACCTGTGCTCCAGGTGAATTATTGGCTAGAACAGTGGGTGGTACAGGCATGCAGTTCTCATTTATACCCTGATGAAGGTACACAACTACTGTACCAAAACGCGCATTTGGCGTTCCTTTGTCTCTTTCTTTAGAAATGTTATTTTTGTTTATTGCCATTCCCCCTTTAATAACAGACAGTTATTTCAATAGTGCTATTACATTACCAACTAGGATCCTATGGTAAAGTAGGTCCTAGGGAATACACCTGGAGACTTAGGTAAATGTGATGTCATGTGATTAGGTATGATGATACTGTGTTTAAGTAGGTCCCAGGTCTATACCTGCAGACTGAGGACCCTTTTCATCTAAGTTCTCTCTGCATGGATAATTAGTATACTATTATTCAGTAGGTCCCAGGAAATATACCTGTACACTGAGGTATCTGTAATGTTATTTGATTAGAGATAAAGGAACCTGTTTTTGAGTAGGTCTCCAGGTTTAGATCTTGAGACTAGGGCAGGGGTTTGGTAGGGGGTCCTGAGGACTAACGTTGAGAACCCCTGGACTAGGGCATTACTTGATATTTCCTCAATTTCTTCACATTTGGATCTTAGATTATATCTGTAACTTATGTACAGTGATACCTAGTTGATCATTACCTTGTGTTGCTATAAGGAAATTTTAGTTGTGATTTTGCAGATTCCAGACTATTTTCAGGTGACTGAGGTGTATGTATCTATGTATGTCCTTTCTTATAATTTAAGAAGCCAATCTACCTTAGAATCCTATAGGAAAATTAATTTGCCGTAGAGATTCAATATATGGGCTAGCTTGAAGATCATGAGGAGATTATACTAACATACTCTTGCTATATCTAGAAGCTCTGCATTTTACATGATACCAGTGACATTTTCTGTACTGATTTTTGTCTGTGGTAATTAAGTGACCCGCCTTTCTCTTTGTAAATGCAAATGGTAATTTCTCTTTGAGCAATACATGAGTAAAGCTTCTTGAATAGAGAGATGAACCATTTTTAATATTTAACATTTAAGAGGATCTATCACAATTCTTTGGTGAGGGGTTGTGTTTATTTGTTTTTGTTAATGTTCTTGTACATACTATGTTTCTATCTTTTACATTTTAATTCACACTAGACTTTCTAACTCTGTAGATACAGAATTGGATTTCCTTATATATTTAAATCTATTAAAGGCTATACCCGAGGGCATCGTTAGTGCTGGCTGGACATAAGTAAGGTAACTCTAAGTAGCTTCCCCAACTTTTTTCACACATTCTGTTTAATTAAGAATTCCATATCCCCTGTTCTGTTAACTTCTTGCTATACCCCACAGGAGCATCATGTGTTTTATTAAGGTTCAATTAACAGAGCAGGAGATAAAAACATCAAAAGTAAACATACTGTACTGAAAAAAAATTAAACATATTGTTTTTCATGCAGGCAGGGGAGGTGTGACTAGGGTGGCATGAACAAACTGAAACAAAAGTGATTTAACCCTTAAATGTCAGAGAAGTGAGCAGGTATAGTGAAGGATCATGATCTATACATCAACACTGCTTCCTAAAGCTACAGTTGTTTTGGTGCTTAGCATATCTCTTTAAGCCCCTAAAACTAAATGCCCAGGAAACAGTTGGGAAACTGCTTTCTGATATCTCCTGGTTTAGGAATAAACTGTTTTGTTTTTTCATGGGCTTGCAGAGAAAAAATTTCAGCACGTCATACTTAACATATATGGGCTGTGTATGTGTGTGTTTATGCAAAAGAGAAAAAATATATTAAACATTATCATTTTTTGTTGTTGCTATGTCATTTCCTTATGTTTTGTCCCCGAAACGGTTTGTAATACCAAACTATACAATGCATTTGATGATCTTAACTAAATGAATGATATGCTTTCAAATGTTTTTTTAAAAAGTTTATTAAAATATTTTAAAATTTGTTCTACAAAAATATGTTGCACAAATATTACTAATATTATAAATTCAATATAGGTTTAAGAATACATGTACAGCATTCAAGCTTACAAGTTTAATTTGTTTTATACCAAATAACTTAATGAATACAGAGTTCCATTATTAATTAAATAGCCTACCATCCACTAGTAACATAATATGATAATGCAAATAAAATAGCAGTAGGACGCATATATTCCATACTCTTAAGTGCTTAACGCCAGGTATTGATGCCTGCGCAAACTCAGAAATCCATCCCTAAATTCAGCCGGTCTGTCCTAAAAATAGCACTAACTGACTAGTCTGTCTTAAGGAAGGGTTCAGACTGGTGTATGACTCACAAACCTGGGGTTGAGTGTCCTCCCTCATCCTCAAATGTGTCCTCTTTGTCAAAACATGGTCCATACACACAACAGTATATTATATTATTTGTGTACATATGCATTAACCATACAATAATTAAAAGAAAAAAAAGTACCATGAACGTATTATTATTATTAGTAGTAGTAGTATTATTGTGTGTGCTTTTTAAAACTCTTCTCTAATAGTACTGAATTAGCAACATAGTTGCAAAATTTAGATTAACAAAATTGAAGATTACTGGAGATATATATTTTGTATTTTCTATTTTTACCTCAGCTTTGCTACTTGGTTGTTTTAGTAAATGTCAAAGAACAATTTTTCTATGCAAACTGTCAGATGCAAAGGACATAGCTTGTAACAATGATTTATTTACAGGGAGCTAAGATGGAGGCATCCAGTTGCAAGTTAAAGAGTTACGAATCTCTACACTTCACTTCATTTTTCGACACCTCACAAATATATATTTGTTAAATATGGGGATAAAAATAATGTAAAAAAATGGGAAGTGACAATTCCCCTTCAATTAATCTTTATTTATTATTGTATCAAATAATGGACACATTATTATTATTGGCATTTACATATAATAGACAACATAGTTACTACATTTTGTGGATATGTGCCAAGCATTATGAAAACGCACATTGCAGATTAAGGTTTACCATGTATCTGCTAATTTGTTCTTAACAAGAAAGTATCATCAGCCTTGCAAATCTGTAAAAATGCATTTTAACTTAAATAAAATAACCTATATAACTGATGTTTCAGACTTTGGTTTTTCGCACTCCAAATGATAACAATGCTGACTGGCCATGCAATGTTTCCAGTCAAAACCACCACAATTTAAAAGTAATAGAACAAATGATACAAGATACAATTTTGGACATGTTTAATGCACTGACATTACTCCTCGACATTTTATACAGGGACCTTTAAATATACAACAAAAATTCCAGGATCGATTTTATATTATCCCTTTATCATGCTTGATTTTTCAATCCGGTGTCACTTAGTGACATTGATCGGATAATTTATCAAAATGTTATATTCTAAAAAGTGTTTTAAAAATGTTTTAAAATGGAAGAGTCACTCCTGCTGGTTCCACTGGTTTCCATGTACTTTTCCTCAATTTTAGTAATTTAGAATACATTTTAGAACAAAACACTTGAACACTGATAAATAGTCCATTGTGTCATATATATTTTAAATACAATTATTAATTGTTCTTTAACAATTTTGATAAAACCGTGTATAAAAGTAAATGACAAACACAGTTTTGTGTATTCTTTAGCTTTCTGTAAGAGAGTGCGACATGTAATGCCTGTAATGAAAATGATTGGCAGACCCAGTAGTGAGCATTTTCATGAAATGCCAGCAGATAGTATTTCATTGCACAAGCCGTTAACTTCATGCCATAAATAAAACTATTCATAACTGGAAAGACAAGTGGGATACAGTCGTATAACTTAAAAAAATAAACATAAACCGGTCATAGTGCAACACTGTATATGAAAATAAGTTGGCTGCTGTAATGATTGCACTCACAGACATCAAAGAAGTATGTGCATATCACCCATGGGACTTAATGTAGATATAGACTTAGTTTGTTTTTTATTAGTATGGTGTTAATTTTTGATATTCTTTTGATCTTGAAACAGAATACATTAGACACTTCTTCTAGTCTAATATTGAAGGTTTCACTTCTTTCTCTTTTCTCTTTTAATACATTGTTTGGTGATAGAAATTGAAAGATATGTAAATGTTGTTGGTAAAAGATAAACACATAGATGTAGACAAAATTCTTGTTTATAAGAAGGAAATCTTGTAAGTAGTTACGAAGGCAGTAGTTTAATAACTACTAATAAATAACGAATTAAGAAGTTATTAAAAGTACTTTGATAGTGAAACAAAAAGAAAAACATATATGTTTTCAAACACCAACAACATGATGAGATTTTTTTCTCCAAAGATGATGTATAAACAGTAATATTCACACTAGTAAGGTGATAAAGGACATAATATAAGTTTATAGCAATTTATATTATTGAAAATCAGGCATTAATACATTCTATTTTAAGCAGATTAGAGCAAACAATTATATTTAACTTATTTGGACGTTGTAATGGAACGCACGGAAGTGCGATTTGAACTGCAAACAGGAAACACGTCAGGATATCAGGTAGAACGCAAAGGTCCCTTGGTTGGAACGCATAGAAACCAGGATGGCGTCATAGGGCGTTTAAAAAAAGTGAAGATCACAATCACCTGGAGGAGAATGAAAGGAATGGATGTCGACGGTGGTCAGTCAAGAAAAACTAAAGAAGATTGGTTACATCAAAGGGGGATTTTCCCCAACACAGCTGAAGGACATTGGGACTGACCCTATTTAAGAATAGGGAACTGAGGGATGGGTAAGCTGATAATTTGATGGCATTAATTATTCTTGATTTTAAAGTTGATTTTTGGTCCATGAGGAAGTTCCCACAGGGGGGATGAAATGCGTAGGACCTCATTTATTCATACTTTTTATCATATTTTATTTATTGTTTTATACCAATAACATTCTTTGTTATACTACCAATCATTGTGTTCCTGATACCTGCTCGTGTGAATGGAATACTAAGAGAGGCTCCTGATCCGACACCCATATGGGGGAGGATTTGTGATATGCGCATACTTCTTTGATGTCTGTGAGTGCAATCATTAAGGCAGCAAACTTATTTTCAAATACAGTGTTGCACTATGTCCGGTTTATGTTTATAGGTATACGACTGTATCCCACTTGTCTTTGAAATTTCTGCTCTATGTGAAGATCACTCACAGGGAAGTGATCGTGGGAAGCTGTATACAAAAGTTACATTAATTATTCATTTATCTCTAAGTGGCACTTCCTTTTGATGTTTAAAGGGATATTCACATATATTTTTTGTTTCATAACTGGGTCTGTTTTCTTTTTTTAATTATTCATTGCATTGTTCATCCATTAAAACGCCATTCTGATTTTAATGCACTGCACAGATAATGTCAAAAATAATTCAAATTAAGGTAAAAATAGATCAAAATAGATACTCAACTTCAGGTTTTTGCTTCTTATGCTAATATGCTGCCTGTAAAAGCAGAAGGCAGACATCTCGCAGAGCAGGAAGAGGCACCACCAATCAGGGGCTTTCCTTCTCTTCTGATATTATTTTTATCCCATACAAACCTTTCCAAAAAGAGTTATTGGCAAAAAGGGGTGCATATTTATTATAATTATGATACAAACAGTCTGTGGGCTAATTTTCCTTTGTTTGTGTCAATTCATTTTGGAGTGGTTGGATAAAAAAAGAGTACCTCTCCCAGCATCTACAAACAAGACTCTTCACTTCTTCATTAGCTTGTCCAAATTTGCTTGGCAACGATAGGCTAAGAGCACTAAGGGAGGGCTCACCCAGATGTTTTAGCCTATAATTGCTACCTAAAACAGATGGGCTAACATGAAAGGCATGTTAGAAGCCCGTCTAGAGGCTGAAGAAGAACTCCATATTTTATCAAAATGCTTTTACACAATCTTGGAGGTCAGAGCCAGCATACCCATTGCACCATTTATACTACAATAAGTTACTGTGACTATGGTCCTTAGAATTCCCCTTGAATAAATCTTTGAGTTGAACTTGTATTACCAATATCAATAACTCTGACTTAAAGGACCACTATGGGCACCCAGACCACTTCAGCTTAATGAAGTGGTCTGGGTGCCAGGTCCAGCTAGGGTTAACCCTGCCTGCTGTAAACATATCAGTTTCAGAGAAACAGTTATGTTTATAAATGGGTTAATCCAGCCTCTAGTGGCTGTCTCATTGAGAAGACGCCAGCATCTATAGGAAACCATTGAGAATGGACTGACTGAATGTGCTCTTGCCGCGCATGCGCATTCAGCCGATGACGTCGGAAGGAGGAGGAGAGTCCCAGCGCCGAGGGAGAAAGGTAAGAGAAAGGCACTGGAGAAAGGTAAGCGTTTAACCCCTTCCTCCCCCTTCAGCCCGGCAGGAAGGGGGGCATGAGGGTGGGGGCACCTATAATACTATAGTGCCAGGAAAACGAGTTTGTTTTCCTGGAACTATAGTGGCCCTTTAAGATATTTATAAATGAGTCACACAAAAACAAGCAATGTAATAAAAGTGTAGAAATTACAATGGAAACAAATAAAGAGTTCCAGCCAAAACTATTGATTTCCATTATGAACACTTCCCATTTCGAACATAGCCCATTTTCTGCATTTATATATATCTTCAGTACACTATTTATGTTCTATTGATTAATGCACTTTTTTTAATCAATGGCAAAACTATTGTTAATTCAGAAGTCAGCAAACAAGTGACTGGGGTTTATTTGAAAATGTAGACTGCAAAACATTGTAAAACTGTGATGTTGATCACCTGGTTTATCATTTTTGTTAAGTGTTTCTGTTAATCATGGGATGATATGGTGGGGCTGTATGACATTTTTGTATTTTCTTCATGTATCATGTTCAAGCATTTCTCAATAAAAATAATTGACATAGAAAAGTAATTGCAATTTACAAGAAAAATATCCAAACCGGTAAATACCTCAAACTCGGTTATTTTTTAAGCTAATGTATTTAGGCCTAAAAGCTGCAATTCCTGTTCAATTCTTTAAATATTGCAGTCTGAAACATCAGTATACTTCTCCACGTCTACTGGAAAGTGAGCTTATCCTTTTCTGTAACAGCAGCATTTAACCTGCCCGCAGGTAACTTCGTCATAACCTGTGTAAATGATAAAGAATTACTAAAATTATATGAAGAAAAACTAGACAGAGCAGCCACAAAATCACTCAAAATAGATTGCACAAGACTAACAGGGTTATATGGTTTGTGCATACTATCAGCTAAGAAATACTGCCCCATACTACTGACTGATACCAAGGCTCAATGGTTTATCATCACTACCATACCAAGTTACTGGTCAAGTTAACATATTCATCAGGCATAGAACACTGAAGGAGATGATAAATTTTAAAAATACGTCAAAACAGATTTTATGAAAAAATTGATTATGGACAAAGCTTAATATCTTTAGAGAGTCCCCACTCCGGCCTCAAACAAGTAATAGTTTATTTGTGCCATTACAGAGCGAATCTATACCATTTGCGTAACAGACTTATTCCAACCTCAAGGACGGTCCAAAACAAAAATGCCAGCAAGGACTCTGAACCAGAGATACAACAAACATTGATGATCATTTCATCCTTGTTGGGCTTGTCAGTGAATTGTGGTTACCTCCCTCTAAACAAAATAAGCAGTGGGGTTTGCGTCCATTCTTGTAGATGGAGTCAGTCTGATAGGCAAATTACACTGTAATGGCACAAATGAGTAAAATATTTGAGACTTGAGCAGGGGCTAACGGGTGGATTATTACATTTGTGTCTGCTCATTCTAAATTCTGTTTTAAATGTTGTCAACACCTGAAAACAGGTCAAGAGTAAATGTTGGCAGACAAGGTTTTTCCAATTGAATTTTCCAATTAAAGGCTGGTTGCATGTGTGTCCAGGGGAATAGTAGGTCAGTGTTGGATCTTAGAAGTCCTTTTTTTCCAAAAGTATGAATTAAGTTGGAAAAGTTGAATTTGAGAGAGGTATGTTTGAGCAATAAATCATGATTATAGAGTCTGTAAACTTTTAGCATTTACCTTTAGGCTAAATGGGTTTCTTCCATTCTTATTGTACATTCATTATCAATATTGCCAACTTCCTTAGCTTTCATTTTTCGTCTGTGTACTTTTCTGCAGTGGCTATTAAAATAAAAATAATTCTGTCAAAGGCTTAATATTTGTTATAATTCTCATGTATAAGATATCAAAGTTACACCATAGGAACTGAAACTGCTAATAAACATAATTTCTGATAATTATTGAGTACATTAACCCCTTAAGGAAAGAGGCAATTGTACACGTTCTGATAAAAAGAAATGTAAACAAACCCAGGAACTTGCATTAAATATCTGTTGTTATATATTATATTGTTTATGATAAACAGGGCTTTTATTTCACATATAATATTTATATATCAAACATAATTTAATATGAATAAAATCTATAAAAACGTTTGAGAAACAAACCTTTTTTTTCTTAATAAACAACAATTCTTAAGATGGGAAATTAAATTGAAACATAACTAGTATTAATTCAATAATAACATGAAAAAGCTCATATGTACACTCAAAGGTGACATATACAAAGTTATTAAAAATAAAATTACTAACTGTATTTCTAACGTTCCAGATATTTCCTAATCTCCCTATTATAGTCATAGTTTAACTTTTTGTCTCAGTAGAAAATTGCATAATTCAATAGGGTGCTATAGTCTTCAGTGTAATATGAAGAACCTCCACTGGATGTCCCCAGTCGATTGTTAATTTCTAGAGTCACAAGGCTGAAGATACCACATTGCTGAAGTCTATAACTATAAAGTTACATAGTTACATAGCTGAATAGAGACTTGAGTCCATGAAGTTCAGTGAAAGATGCAAAGTAGTAAGGTCAATGGGACTGTCTAACCCAGGGGCAGGCAATCTTTAGCATTCTAGTTGTTTTGGACTACATCTCTCCTGAACATCTGGAGTGCCGAAAGTTTCTAGTCACAGCAGCATGCTGGATAATGTAAAAATATCATTTTATTTTAAATCATTAAAAAAATAACTGCAATTTAAGCTTTAAGGCTGGTCATTATCACTTTGTGCACATATATACAATATAAATGGCGAATGGGAAACAGATCCCTTTTTTAATGTGTTGCCACAGTTTGTGAAACTGAGTTTTCAAAGCAAAATTGACTTGGATTCCAGCAGTAAAAGTGGTTTATTTGGTCTTTCGGTCTCAAGCTAAGCCTATTTTATTTTTCAACTACATGCTTCCAGATGTAAATCTCAATCTTCAAACTGGAGACTGGATTCATATGCTGTAGAACATGCTGTAGAACACAGAGAAGTTGGTAAGCTTTATCTAATATATTGTAGACTACAAATCTAGAGATGCTATTTGCACAAGCATTGTTTTCAAACATCTCACTAGGGATAATCTTTGAGGGCCAAATTAAAGAACATGTTTTATAATGACCACATTTGTGAGCCCTTCTGGTTGTTGTAAGCTATGTTATTGATGTTTTTACTGGTTCTCGCTGACCTAGTCACCTGCATCTCGAGTCTACAATTAACAGGAGAACTTAGCAACATCTGCATCGTGTTTTACAGAAAATGAACTAGATCGTCAATATGAACACCAAGACTCCAGATTTTAAACATGTTATGTGAAACACTCTGGCAACCCAGCAAGTTTGAGCTTTCATGCAGTTGAAAAAAGTAGACTTATCTCCAAGAAAGAAGCTCAAAATACATCCCTTACAGTTACAGTTAGAATCAAACAGGGATAAATACTAAAGTGAAAACCGATGGGATTCCCAGTTGAATTCAAAGATAATTTTATAATTCAAGCCCAAGTAGCCCAAAAACATCTCCCAAGTTTAATCCATTTTCATTATTGCTATGTTGGCCATTCATTTGAAATTTAAAAAGCCTCAATTTAGTAAGTCACACTATGTGCGGATTTTTAATTTCCAAACTCTACTCGGGCTAAAGGTTCATCCCCCTCTGCCATATTTAGCTTCTTTAAAATGTGCAGTCTTGGATACAGAGACCAATTATCTGAACAGAATTCACAGCAGTACAAAATCACGCTCTTTCATATTTCCTGACGTTGGATGATCTGTTTAGGCATATTAGCTTTGCTACTTACTGAGAACAGATGCATATGCAAATAACCAGTATAATGAGTGTCACCATAGCAGCTATCAGTCCAATTACAACCATCTGTCCTCTGTCTCCTTTCAAGTAAAATAAATCTAAGTATTCGCATCTTGATCCAGTATAACCGGATTCACATCTGAAAAAAAAAGACATAAAAAGTATACTTTTTACTCCGAATTTTAATTTCTTCAATGGAATATTTTCTATTTAGTTATTCTGACTCTTTCAGTTGAGTTATTCAATATATACCATAATCTCTTGGCTATGTGCCAGAATATTGTAAATTTTACCCTGTCCCGTACTAGTAAAGAAGCTGAGGAATGGATACTCCTTCACTCTAATTATCATCTAAATGTAAACCTAGGTAGCAAAATAGCAACATATCCTACATATACTAACGTTGTTTTTTTTATAGCATGAACCTAGTGCAGAGTTTTCACGAGGACACTTACATACAAGCTGGTGTTTTCTCGGAGGTGACATAACGGCATTTTCCTTTAACACAGTAATGTCGGTATGTCTTTGGACATCGGGAAAAATGACTTTTCCATTTTGAAGGTGAAATCTCTGAAGTTGTAAAGTAAAATACGCATTTAAAGCAGTGAATAATAAAGATACATTACAGAAACAACAAAAAACATGAATGTATCTTACATAAATTTTTGCAAGTTATGTTAACAATCATGTGATGTGACCATAAACATGTCAAAAAATGGATTCTGCTACAACATCAAATCCTTCAATATTTGCAAAGCAGCTAAAATCGGAAGAAACATACATACAAATGATTGTATTAAATGTATTCTGGGCAAAACTTTCAAGCACTGACTGACACAATAAAGAATTCAGAAGAATTGAAAATAAATTGTTCTGGCAACACTAAAGTATGCGGATTCTGGTTGCTGTGTGTGTTCTCATGGGAAGGAATTTGATTAGGAGAAAGCAACAACTGTCACACTTGAGCCATGTGTCCTCAATGCTTCTTTATGAGAAGGCTTTGACAGGACAAAAATCATCAAGATTGATGACTTCATTGGAAGCGGATGGAGCTGCAGTGTGAATTCTGTCTTGGTGCTGAAGAACTGAAATTGTTATAGAAATGTGTATATTTTCATTAAATTACTTTAAAATGTAAAATGATACACCAAGCATTGTATTACCTGTGCAGTTCTCGGTATACTCAGGGCAAGGTATACTTTTGGTTTCTGGTTCGGCTGTTGAATTCCCATTTGAGTTCACGTATGGTAATACTGTAAGACCTTTAAAGTAAAGCACAAAAGAGAGTAAAAAGCATTGCACATCTTTACAAAATGTATTTTAAAAAAGCAAATATCTAGATAGTCTTTAATGAGACTAGGCAGAGAACACCACCACCAATGATCAATGGAGCCCGAAGCCTCCAGTGCTGAAAAGTTCCCAGTGGGAATGACAGAAAGACTCATAGTGGGAACAGCAAAAAAGTGTATTTACAGAAATGCGGTATGAAGTCCGAAACATGATGTCTGTCCTTGCTCATTTGCATATCAAGCTGGGAAGTCTGGGAAATTTGTGGAAACATGATTTCTTGAGGTTTTTGTTTTCTCAAGAAGGACCTTTCAACATGAGATATGCAGATGAAGTATAACAATTTTTTTAAACATAAGCACAGACACTGATTGTGTTACAACTGCACCATTTTTCAAACCTATAACACAAATATTCATTCATGCTTTCAGTGATTGAATCCAATGTCGTAGTGACTATGATAACATGGATGCTTGATAAAAGAGAGAAATAGTGGGTATGTTAACTAATGTTTGAGCCACAAATTGAAGATTATTTGGGCTTTCAGATATGATTATTTTTCCTCTTGTTTCTATCTCTTTTTCCACTGGATCACTGGACTCAACAATTTTGGCATATTAAAGAAACACTATAGGGTCAGGAATACAAGCATGTATTCCTGACCCTATAGTCTTAAAACCCCAATCTAGCCCTCCCCCCCACCCCCCTGGCCTCCACTTGCCTCCCTAAATATAGTAAAATCTCACTTGTATTCAAGTCTGCAGTTGCTGCCTCTGCCCTAGAACTGCCTGCTGTCTGTTGACATAATCAAAAGGGGTGGTCTGAGCCAATCACAATGCTCCCTCATAGGATTGGCTGAAACTGTCAAGGAGGCAGATCAGGGGCAGAGCTAGCACAAGTTAAACACAGCCCTGGCCAATCAACATCTCCTCATAGAGATGAATTGAATCAATGCATCTCTCTGAAGAAAGTTTAGTGTCTGCATGCAGAGGTAGGAGACACTGTATGGCAGCGTTGCACAATAGGCAGCACTGCCCCAGGAAGCACCTCTAGTAGCCATCTGAGGAGTGGCCAGTGGAGTTATCACTAGGCTGTAATATAAACACTGCATTTTATTTGAAAGGACAGTGTTTACTACAAAAACCCTAAAGGGAATGATTATTCTCACCAGAATAATTACAATAAGCTGTTCTGGTGACTATAGTGACCCTGTAAGGGCATTTATAATTTTATAGCATTATCCTTTATATCTAGACTGGCTGTTAATTCTGCCTATAAATGAATTATTTTTATATCAGGTTTATTTATATAAGGACATGTATAAAGATTTCTCTTATTTTGTACCCGCGCCTGAACAACAGAATTGCATGCTGAGCTGATGCTGTATCTAAATCTTAAATCTGAGATTGTTTCTGCAGTTCGAGTACTAATCAACTGAGTTCACTCACTGAGTGTACTACAGGATATAATGCTTGTCGTCGTCCCCCAAAATAAATTTGAACGTTATGTAGCATTAATTATAAATACAAAAAAAAACCAGAAAGATCTCAAGAAGATAATCAAAACATATTTTAGAATACACCCCAGTGAGTCACTATGAAATGCTACAGATGTCTTTTTTCCATCTCTTCTTTATCATATTTTTACTGAAGGAAAATCCCATAATATTTCACAAAAGAAGACATTCAGTATATCCATCAGAGTGTTATAAAAGTGACTCAGTAGGGAGTTTTCTAAAAGGATCACCACCATATTATTGTCCAAGTGGGATATTTTTATTACTTAGAATCATCTATGGTAGCCTTGTCTGTCTATGCAAGATACATTTCCACGTATATAAGCTGCTAGACCACCCAGAGTGATTATTTGTTATATTGAGTCTTATAACTCATGTAATTTATAATAGTTTTTATTAACAGTGCATTTTGCAACCCATAGCATGCCATAGACAGAGCTGTAACAGGTTGAATGCAATCTTTTAAATGTGTTTTTTACCCCCCTTCTTTAGCTTTATTGCAAACCTATCCGACCCTTACATATCTTTATTCAACAGCCTGATTCAAAACTATCAAGCCCCAATAGTGCTGTAAGAAAGTCTGATACCCAGGCTCATTATTACATTTATAGATTGTTTGTCACACCCAAATTTTAGATAAGTAAAAATAATAGGTGTACACACTACCTCTTATTAGTACACTCCTGCACTTTCTTAACTCATAAAACGTAATATTTACCCTACCTTCACCTGCACTTGATATTTCAATTATTTCCAATTTACTTTTTCCCAGTTTAGCAATGATCTCTCGTCTCCTCTTTATTTCCTCCTTCTCCCTCAGTATAAAAATCTCTCCTTACATGCACTTCACTCATCCCTCCAACCATTTTTACATATGCATATGCCTAGACCCCATGCATACAAAACCCATTCACACCTCCTGTCACTTTCTCTCCTTCTGCTTCTAGCAGCTGGTGATGTCTCTCCCAATCCAGGGCCCTTTGACTTCTCTACACATACTAAGAAAACCAGAAACCCCACAAACCCTGCCCTTTACCCTCACTTACCAACATTCAGTGTGCACTCTGGAACAACCACTCCATCTGCAGTAATTTAAAATCAACAGCCATACATGATTTTTTCATCTTAAACTCACTCACATTACTAGCACTTACAGGGACCTGGCTATCTCGGTCTGAGAGTGCTACTTCTGCCTCTTTATGTTTTGGTGGGCTACAATTCTCTCACACTCCCAGACTCAACTGTAAAGGACCTTTCTCCCCTCAATGTACCTTTCAACCAATCATAACTGCCCCTGCCCTATGCTTTTCCTCTTTTGAAGTTCACACTGTCTGCCTATTTAAACCCACTCCTTTAAAAATTGCTATCATCTACCGCTCCCTGGTCATCCTAGGCTATTCATTGAGCTCCCCCAACAACAACCTTGGCACACCAAGCTGATTGGATACCTCCAAAAATGTTCCAGAACTGCTGAATGCTGTTGGAGAAAGTCTCACTGTGCGTCTGACTTTCTTCACTATAAATGTATGCTGCGCTCACACAGTCACTCATCTTTCTTCTTCCCCTTACAATACTTCCTCTAACCTCACCCCTTCTGCTGTTCTACGTTCATTCGCACCCACTACAGTGGAAGAGGTTTCTGCTCTGCTCCAGTCCTCCCACCCCACCACCTGTTCCCTAGATCCAATTCCTTTGGATATCATCCGTACTCTGTCTTCTTCTCTTTCTCTACCTCTCACTAAAATTCTCAATCTCTCTCTCCTCTGGCATATTGCCATCACCCTTCAAACATGGAACTGTAACCCCAATTCTAAAGAAGCCCAACCTTGACCCTAACTCCCCGTCCAACTACCGTCCTATCTCGCTGCTACCTTTTGCATCCAAGATCCTTAAAGAGTTGTGTATTTGAGATTGACAGACTTCCTCAAGTCCAACTCTCTGCTAGACCCACTTCAGTCTGGTTTCCGTGCTAAGCACTGTGGAAACGGTACTGACCAAAGTATCCAATGATCTACTCGCTGCAAAATCTCATGGTCACTACTCGATCCTAATTCTCTTTGACCTTTGTGTGGCTTTTGACACTGTTGATCACCAACAGCTTCTTCTCATCCTCCGCAATATTGGTCTACAAGATTTTGCTCTCTCCTCTTACCTCTCCCAGGGCTCTTTCAGTGTTTCTTTCTCTGGCTCTGCTTATTCTCCCCAACTTGTCTCTGTTGGTGTCCCCCAAGGTTCAGTCCTTGGTCCCCTACTGTTCTCTATCTATACTGCCTCCCTTGGTAAACTCCTTAGTTCCTTTGGCTTCAAATATAATTTCTATGCGGATGACATACAAACCTCTCCTGATCTCTCCCCATCCCCCTTGACTAGTGTCTCTGACTGCCTCTCTGCTATATCTAACTGGATGGCTGCCCACTTCCTTAAACTCTACTTGACCAAAACTGAATTTCTGGTCTTTCCTCCCTCAAGTGTTGCTACTCCTGTGTCTGCCTCCCTCTAAATCAACGGTGCTACCATCAGCTCCATCACACAGGCTCGCTGCGTAGGTGTTCTCTTTGACTCCAACCTCTCCTTTACACCTCATGTTCAGTCTACTGCCAAATCCTGCCACTTCCATCTCAAAAACATTGCATGCATCCGACCCTACTTAAAGGACCACTATAGGCACCCAGACCACTTCAGCTTAATTAATTAACCCTCAGTGTAAACTGCTATGTTTACACTGAGGGTTAATCCAGCCTCTAAAGCCTCTAGTGGCTGTCTCATTGACAGCCGCTAGAGGCACTTGCGTGCTTCTCACTGTGAAAATCACAGTGAGAAGATGCCAGCGTCCATAGGAAAACATTATGAATGCTTTCCTATGAAACTGGCTGAATGCGCGCGCGGCTCCTGCCGCGCATGCGCATTCAGCCGATGACGTCGCTAGGAAGAAGGAGAAGAGGAGGAAAGGTCACCGCCCAGCGCTGGAGAAAGGTAAGTGTTTAACCCCTTCCTCTCCCCAGAGCCCGGCGGGAGTATGTTTTCCTGGCACTATAGTGGTCCTTTAAAGCCAGATGCGACTAAGATGCCGGTCCATTCCACTGTCCTTTCTTGCCTTGACTACTGTAATCCACCTCTCAGTGGTCTTACGTGCTCCCAACTTGCACCGTTACGGTCCATAATGAATGCGGCAGAGAGGCTCATCTTCCTGTCCACCCGCTCCTCCCATGCCTCACCCTTCTGTCAGTCCCTACATTGGCTTCCTGTAAGAAATAGGGTTCAATTTAAAATTCTGGTTCTTGCTTTCAAATCTCTACATAATGCTGCTCCAACCTATCTATTTTCCCTAATACACAAGTATGTCCAGTCTAGGCCCTTAAGCTCTGCTGAAGACTTACGTCTATCTTCTGTCCGTACTCCCACCTCTGATGCTCGCCTTCAAGACTTTTCGAGGGCTGCATCGTTCCTGTGGAACTGACTTCCCTCCTCCGTTAGATGCTCACCCAGTCTCCACTGCTTCAAAAAATCATTAAAAACCCACTTTTTCATAAAACGGTATCAATTAAACTGTTAATAGCTCCTGACTGATTCCTCTCTTGCAACTGTCATTAGTCTAATACTATCCTTACCTTTTGTGTCACTTTACCCCTCTTCCTCTAGCATGTAAGCTCATTGAGCAGGGCCCTCAACCCCTCTGTTCCTGTGTTTCCAACTTGTCTGGTTACAACTACATGTTTGTTAGTCCACCCACTGTAAAGCACTGCAGAATCTGTTGGCGCTACATAAATAATAACATAGTAATAATAAAAATTATAATAATAATACGTCATTGGGATTTCTATCTGAAAATTAATCAAAATTATGTTACAAGAACAATACATACAATAGGTGGATCACACTCCTAGAAATATCTAAAAGAGAATAAAAATACAATATAGTGTAATATTGTCAGCAAATGGATATCCAAATAAATGTAGAGGAGATCAGGTACTCACAAACCAAGAGTCAAACATATACATGTGGCTCTCATGGGAACAGCACTGGGACCATTAGTTAGGATGTCTCTTTCCTTCTTGGAATCTTCTGGTAGCAAATATAAATGACTGTAAACACTTACTACTTCAGTAAAGTGTTTATTAATCCAAAAGGTAAAACAGGAATGGAGACAAAAAGAATTACTCCAATAAAATACATAGAAAAGGGTAATATAGTAAAAGAGTCCAATAAGGGAGTCTCTGTAAATCCGAAACGCGTTTCGACCCGTACCAGGGGCTTCCTCAGTCGGTAATATGTATCTCTTCTTCCTTGGCATCCTTTTATATGTGTGGAATGGCATTATTATACATTTGCATACAATGCCATGCCTCTCTTAACTAAAGTATTAGCTCTTTTGAATTCCAGTACCACTTATATATCAATGTCTTCCCACTTTCAACAACTCCATAGTTCCAAATTTGAACATTGCTAGATGGAAAAAAGTCCAGGGGCTTCAGCCCAAGGTTAAATTTTATAGCCTCTCCCACATATATTAATTTAAACCCCTCCTAAAACCAGCCCTATAAAATGCCCTAAGTCCAATCCTAAACCCTTATGTGTTATATAAATCAGGAGGTCCTAATTGGCTAAAACGGCATTTGGCCCCAGGCCACGTGACAATTTTAGCCAATCCAATGCTTTCCCTGTGGGAAAGCATTGGATTGGCTAAAAAGCGGCCATTTTGATGATGTCACAAAGGGGTGGAGCCAGCGCTGGCAGTCCCGCACGGCGCTTGAAATAAGGTGAGTTTTAAACTTTTATAGGTGGGCTAAGGGGGTGCAAGCCACCTAAATGGTGGGTTTAGCACTATAGGGTTAGAAATACATGCTTGTGTTCCTGACCCTATAGTGATCCTTTAAGCTCCATTGAGATAACCAACCAGGACGTAACAGGATCAGTTGTCTTATTGAAAGCAAGGGCAGTGTAAGAAGATTAATTTATATAAGTGCTAATTTTGATTGAAATCTATACTTTTTGTAAGTGAAGAAAAAAAAAAACTTTAACCTTGCTGACAGGGGGATCAGTAATCTAAACAGTGCGTTTAGACCTATATTGTCAGGAATACACTTTGTATGCCTGACACTATAGTGTTCCTTTAAATACATTTTTTCTTAAAGCTGTCTGTACTCTCACTCTTTCACATTGCAATTTAAATTCTTTGAACATAATAACCTGACCATCTTATCCTTCATGCTTTACCCTCAATCATTATCCTCAATAACCATTTGTAGTAGTTTCTATATGTTTGCTGTTATAATCATACAATTGTTAAACTCTACAGAATAGTATGTGGACACTATATAAATGTAAGTAAAGATAGTAAACCCATATGCCCTAAATCACATAAAAAGTAAAAAAAATGTATCCTATACTAATAAAATAACTTTGTAGCCATGTGGGAAGAAAGAGACTGACAGTAACGTGAAAACAAAATGAATCATTACTTTGTGTTCCAATCCAAACACGTGCATTTCTATTTTAGGGGCCTTGCTAGGTAGTGGATTTGGCAGCTGCTCAGTACATCAGTTTCTAAATTTACCAAGTGATTCCCCTATGAGCTGTACTAGACACACAAGCTGTAGGTGGTAGGTGGCTTTTTAGATGTATTATTTTGTACTTTATTATTTTTGGTAACTTTGTGGCAACACTTGGAAAAAAAAGTATTTTATTTCAAAACTTTCCTACACTATACTTTATATGTCTATCAATGTATTATGTCATAAAAGGTAAGATGAAATATGTCACCAAGAAGATTAGATAGATGAATATGAGACAGAGAAAGAGAGAGAGGCAGAAGGAATAAGGGATAAAAGATTTCTGTATTTTATTATCCAGTTTTTTTTGTTTTTTTTTTAACTAATTTTAAATAAATATCTATCACACAATTGTTTACAAGTTTGACATTGACATTTTCTTTATTTTATGATTGTAATAATTTTCAAATAAAGATTTTGTAAAAATATTGAAACAGACAGACATATGTGACTTGATTATATTCTATCAGTCCAAAATAGTTCATATTATTATTATTTTTTTTTTAATCAAGTTGCGGCTGGATTTATTACCACGCACAATTCAAGCAGCAGAACCTGAATGGTTTCGCTGCTCGAAATAACACCACTGATTAATGTGCAACAAAAGCACATGTATCTGCCATTTTTAATGACTAACCCTGTTGGTCATTAAATAAATAAATAAATAAATAACTACATTTTAAAAAATCCTATGTTGGATGACATGAGATACTTGCCTATAGAGAGAGGAAGCGAGAGAAGTGAGACTTAACTTTTAAGCCACATATTAAAAAGATAATTAAAGACATAAAAGACAATATATAAATCATTTTTGAATGTATATGTATACAACATTTTGTAACCAAGGATCTAGTTAGTCATTTATTGCCTATGATACTTTTAATATTAAATGTATTGTTCCCTTTGTGTACCTTGGCAAGGTGAATCACTTTGCACCTCTCTGTTGGTTTAGTCAATGTTTTGTACACTATTTTGTGTATACAAGTTCCAACCTTTTCCAAAATCGCTGCTAAAATATAGACTAAAAAGCCCTGGCTATTCATTTAGTTCAGATCATTGCCTTCAACTGGATTTTAAGTCAAAGGCTGGCTGAGCATAATGAGATATGAAGCTGTATAACAGTCAGAGAGCTACCTGCTGGTAATCTTTTTCAACACAAACATGTAGACTCTCATTCATCTTATGATGCTAGTGTGTTCCCAAGGTTCCATAATATGTAATGAGCAGACCATTTTATATTCAGTCGCATATGTATCATATCTGACCAAAAACAGAGAGAGTTTATTACTAGTATCCAATGAACATTCAAAACCTACTAAGGGTATTTAAAGTTGGGGATTCCAGGAGGAATGATATTTGCACCATTCTGTGAGTGTGAAGAAACACAAAGGATATTGGTGCTAGCTCACTAAAGGCTTAATATTTTGAATATGAATATTCTCTGCTACTTATAAATATTCCATTATATGTCTTTACAGTAGTCTCCTGATATAAGAGCATGTCTCAATAACATATCTACTAGCTATAATGCCCGCAATAGTTTAATAGGTAAAGACATTCACTGAGGGGGTTCACTTACTAAAATTTGAATTGTAGTTAAGGGAAAATAAAATGTAGGCAATAAAAGTTGATATGGAGAAATTCTTCAACTCAGATGGGTCACAGGCTATTTGGCCTCTATACCACAGATTGCTTCTAATTATTTGTTCAATTCTCTACAAAATTCTAGAGTGTAACAGCAAAAAATAAATAGTAAAGTGTAGGCAAAACACGGTAATTTAAAAAAAGAAAAAAGTAAACAAGAGGTAGACAAGCTGTATTGAATAGTAAACAGAATCCATATTCTTGGTCGTCTAGATATTAACCCGTTAAGGACCAGTAATAATTCATGCTGTCATCACAATATTTCCTGTAAAGGCCCAATGCCTGGAATGTCATGTGTATTTATCATTGGAAGCTCCATAAAGCCCTGCTGTCATCACATGATTGGGACATTTGATAGTTAAAAACATGGTTGTAATCATACTACCATTGATCCTTACTTAACCTATTCCCTGCCAAGTTAAAATAAATAAATAATCCCGTTATCATGTGCCGTGCTCTCAGTCACCCTCCCAGACAATTGTATGGGACATCACTGATTGATTGAAATAATTTAGAGCCTTCCGCTTTGCTCTGGAGGTTGCATAATTTGTTTAACATATTTTTTGATCTATCTTGTATTTATAAGTGCCAGTCCTGAATTTGCTGGAACAGATCCATGTTTGTACTATTCCTTTCTAGGTGGACCCACCACCTTCATGCCTGCTCACTTGGCAGGGATTTTGGAAGGTATGTTAATTCATGGGCACATTTTTCATATTTGTGATCTTCATAATTCTTTTACAAATGGGCATCATTTTCAGCTTGGGATAATACTTTTAGTATTTTAACAATTCGTCGATTAGACAGTTCTTACTCTCATGATAATAATGCACACAACTGTTGCTTTTACTACTAGTGCCATACCCAGACAGAATATATTAAATATATAGCATGTAATAAAAAGTTGATATTTTTTAATATAAAATGCTTGCTTATTCTGTCATGGGACAAGCAGAGATATATTATGCAAGATATCAAGCCTCTTCATTTTGGTAAGGAAAGTGGTTCACAATCTCAGCTTCCATTTTGCTCCATGATATGTTAATTTGGTACAAGCATGTCATTAGCATCCACCATAAGTCACCCCATAGGAACATATGCAGGGCTGGGGCAATATTTTGGATACACAGGGCAAGATGCATTTTGTATCTGTTCCTTTTCCCCTCCCTCATTGTGTGACACTTAGCCATCATTGTAATGTGGCCTCACAGACTGTGGAGAGAAACAAATGTATCCTCTATCCAATCTAACAGGTAGCTGCTCACTGTTCATCTACCAGTTGCTTCAGTCACTGAGGTCTGTGTACCAGAATCTTGCGCGTTAACCTAGGGAAAGCAGTAGTATCCTCAGAACACCACATCGCTGTACCTACCATTATAGAGTGCACAGATACAACACAGCGTAATTGTATAAACAATTACATGCATTCTAGAGCCAGAATGTGACTCATAGTATGGCACAGCCATAAAGACATGTCATGGTATCATTGCGTAAATGCCTGGTGTTGATGTAAAGATAAAACCTGTTTAAATCTCTAAGGCGCAGTAATGGTAGTGCTCTATATATAACTGTACGGCTGGCTGCATTTACAAATTATAAATTCAATTATACTATAATACATTTGTTTGTTTTTTCTTTATAATGTTAAATATGCTTCTTATGCTGGTAAATTGTTTGGCATTAAACAGTTTGTGCTATTGTTTAAATCTTAAATAATTTTGAGACTGGACAAGTCATTATAAGTTGCCTTTTCAGATGAAATTGGGGAAACCACTTGAAGCAAGAATTTTTTAACAATTACATTATAAAGCAGAAATATTACAGCTATACTATAAAACACAATTTATAAACTCGTAATACTACAAGTGAGCTTCATACCTGATATATTTAAACAACAAACTATTACAGTCATGTGTCTATAACCATGGTATAAATATCATAATTGCAATGGCATTGTTATAGTGGATTATTACAAATAGCTTTATATGACCATGGTATAAAGTTTATTTTTTATATTTAAATTTAAATTCGCACTTATGGGTTACAAAAACAAATTCTGGTTTATTGGTTAGTTCAGTTATTTTTCCTACATACTTTGAAAATTTTTCATTTTCATCATCTTTCTTCATAGGTCTTAAAGGATCACTATAGGGTTAGGAACACAAATATGCATTAATGACCCTATAGTGCTAAACCCACAATTAAGGTGGCTTGCCCCCTTAATTGTGACCCCATTTAAAAGTTTAAAACGCACCTTATTTCCAGTGCCGCACAGGTCTGCCGTGTTGGCTCCGCCCCCTTTGTGACATCATCAAAATGTCCCCATGAGGAAAACATTGGATTGGCTAAAATCTGCAAGGGGGCGGGAACGAATGCCATTTTGGCCAATTAGCCCCTTCTTATAGAGATGCATTGAATCAATGCACCTCTATGAGGAAAATTCAGCGTCTCCATGCAGAGCGTGGGGACGCTGAATGGCAGGGCTGCTTACTGAGCAGTCCTGAGCCAGAAAGCCCCTCCAGTGGCCATCTAAGGAGTGGCCACTTGGAGGTGTCCCGAGGGGCAAAGTAAACACTGTCTTTTCTCTGAAAAGGCAGTGTTTACATGAAAATGCCTGAAAGAAGCTATTATACTCACCAGAACAACAACATTAAGCTGTAGTTGTTCTGGTGACTGTAGTGTCCCTTTAAATATAATACAACTTTATCATGTATTGATATAAGGTTTGGGTGTGTCTTTTGTTTCCAAGCCTTAGCAACACTCTTCCAGATTCATTCATCTGGATTTGAAGCTGTTTAAATATTCCAAATGGAAGACAATCAGAGAGTATAAAAGGTATATAGAATATTAAGTTGTGCAGCAATGGGACACTCCGAACAACAATACCTATTTAATGCATTTGATAGGTTTTATTTTTTGCATGCTCAAATCTTTTTAATTTTTGCACAAAACAAATAAATATTTTGCCGAATGCTGTACCTTAAGCTTGCCTTCTTAGCCATTATCATTCCACTCACTTTAGAAAATGACTTAAATATCTGCACACATGCTCACAGCCCTAAGTGATCTTAACCACACAGCAACCTGCAATAGATGACATATTTGGTTTTGGTTAAATTATAATTTGTCCAAATTTAAGCCAAACAGCGTTTCTGCTGCATTTTGCATCTCCAAAGCACCACACAGACATATAGCTAAGCATACAACTAGCTGGATGGACAACCATGTTCATTTGCTTCAGGATTCAAATTACACCCATGGCACTTAAAGAAAGGTGATTGATGGAAAAATATACAATTGATGGCTAAATCTTCATATATTTGTTATATAGTATATCAATATATAAATAAAGATTATTTAGTGCTCCTCCTCTTTTTCCCTTCTCTTGGTTACTTTTTTTTCAATGTATCAATGTACTGCAAAATATACACATGATATTTATATTATGTAGATATTTAGCAGTACAGCGATTGGCTCATTGCTGCATTTCTTTTAGTCTGAATTGTTTTCAAGAATATTTTTAATGGAAAAGAATTGGCTGTAATGAACCATCAAATGAATGAGTGTCAAAAATCCCTTGTTAATTTTGTTTGTGGAAAAATGTATAATTTTTATATAATCTAGTATCATTCAGTCTCCAAGCATCTAAACCCGGGTCATGAGTAGTCAGCTGGAAAGTTATAGGGACATGGTTCAACCATGGAATAACTCTAATGTGACGGTAGCACTATTATGGACATTATATGTAGGTCCCTGATTACTCTTATGTCTGGGTCACTCTGTACCTATTATAGGTGCAGAGTGTATATTATAGTTATTTGTTTAATGTTTTATATACTCTCCTGTACTGCTGATGTTCTCTATCAAGTAGTTGGATTTGGCTGTGGAGCCTATGCAGCGCCACTTGTTAATTGTTAATGATCTTGCAAGCCTGTACTGCACCATCTGTTGGTTGTGAAGATCTTGAAACAGTTATATGCACAATCTGAATAGTAAAGCTAATTAATTTGCAGATTCAGGTAGATTTGCATATTATGGTTTAGGCAGGCAGGGAACGCACTTCTTGTCAGTTTTCGTCTTCAACAACCCTTTATAATTATTGTACTGTGATATGAGTGCCTCTATGATTCCTCCTATGATTATGGTTTGTGTATGTAACTGATTGTCACAATGATGTATGAATGTAATGTGGATAGGGGCTAGTACGTAGAGTAAATAAAGTATTGTATAAGTTCCACTGGGAACTGTGTCCTGTCTGGTTTGTTCAGGGATCCAAGCAACAGAGTTTCCGGGCCTGTCGACTGGCTGCACAGGTCTCTGATCCCTGGGGTGAGTTAATAAAGAGCTAGACCTGTGAGCCACAAGTATCTTTGTAAAGGCAACAGTCGGAGACAGAGTAGACAGATGTTTTGAGACCTGCCTGGGAGAGTAACAGAGGAGGCAAAGGTAGAGTGGATTATACCTGCCTGGAAGGAGAGAGTTGCAGCTTGGTCTGGTGGAAGAGGTCTTCAGAGACCTCAGTCAAGCTTCAGCAACTGGGTGTGAAGAGCTCCAGAGTCCCTAGTAGCAGAGAGGAAGCTGACCTGATGGAGCTCCATGACATCTCATATTTACTTTTCTTGCCAACATCAGGGTTTTACTGTCACTTAAATATAATGTGTTATCTTTACAATTTGTATATAGATACTTCCATACCTCAAAAAGATTCACTAACAGCTATTTTTGCAATTGTGAGAAAGAAAATGAGGGTATGCAAGAGACCCAGCTTACCTTTTCAGGAGGTTATTAACGTGCTCTTGCCTTATGACACCAACAGGGTTATTTGCTAAAGTGAGAATTGTTGGGAATTCAAAGTAAATTTCAAATTTAAAGCAGAAATGAAAGAATAGCTGACTGGGATTTTTTTTTTAAATTAATCTATTTTTTTTTATTAATTTTGAGTAACTGCAAATGTGAATACAAACAACAAAAAATCTCTCATTATAAAAATCTATTCTAATCTAATTTTTATTTTTATTTTTTTATTAGGAGATAGAAGCATACAAAGCAAAAAGTAAGCAAGCATTTATAAAAATTCTACAATATACTTGAAAATACAAAACAATTGAGCAAATACGTAACAGAAAAAAAAAGCTAAATGGAACGTGCCTCCTATTTTAATGGGTTTGCAAAACCCATTGAGAATAAAACTTTTGTTTCATTGGAAATTGTAAGTGATACCTTCACTGTCTCCTAACTTACTTTTTATTATAGGAACCTTTGTTATGAACTCTGGCGTGGCAATACATTTAAAAAAAAATTACAACAGCAAACCAGAACTATGTGTAAATATTGAAAAGTAATTGTATACCATAATAATTAAAACATTAGATCAATAAAACATCGTACACAACAAAAATACAAAATTTTTAAAATAAAATTACATACAAACACAGCGGAGCCAGATGAATATAAAAACAAGCAAAGAGAACAACACAAAAGGAAAAAAGAAGAGGGGAAGTGGGGGAAAGGCTTATTGTGAATCCCAGCATTTTTTTTCTATACATAATCCTCCGTAGAGCCATCATAAAGACTTTTCTAAAAGTCAAACGTAAACGCACATTAGAATCAAAGGTGAGGCTCGTTGTTTTCTTTAATTTGCCAAAAGTGTGTAAGGTTTATTGGCCTCTTCAAATAAATATTTTGTCCAATTCTTCTTTTCACAGTATCAGAGAATAGCATATTAGGTGCTGAACTTCTCCGTTATTTTATGCAATAGATCTTTAGCCTATGTACGTGGTCAGCTCTTTAATCTCATCAGTTAGGCGATTATAGTGTTGCATGTCAGGCTGACAGACAGCCTCGTTCTCAGCCCCCAACCTACAGAGCCATGCAGAGAGTGCTCCTGAAGCTCCCTCTGCATGACCTTGGTGCCGACTACATTGCGCTTGTGCATCTAATCATGTGCTCGTGGTGTGATTCCTGAAGTAGTAATTTAATAATATAGTGGCCTTTATTCATTTACAATTTCATAGCTTGTACTGGGAGATATATAATGTTTTGGTCAGCAAAAATCAGAACTAGTGTCTACGGTTTACAAAAGAATACAATACTGTGATGGGATCTTGATAGATTAACAATACTATTTTTCAGGCAATATTTGAAATTTTGCTTGGCAAAGCTCGCAACTGTTTTCAGAACATATTTCTAATTTCTATCAAACCCAGTTACTGTGGTTCGGTGTCTAAGAACACTGCCACCCATAGCTCAGCAGGCTTATTTTCCAAAACACAGAAAATAGCAATATGCCTATACGTCCCTTGAGCATTAAAGGGGTGCGGTCTACTTTTCTCAGCCAGGAGGGTGTCTCCACATGTAAAGGGCAGTTTATATAATGTGTCAGTGGAAATGCAATGGGTGTGGATTTTAAACCTCCATGTACATTAATTTCTCACACTAGTTGCTATTGCTTTTAATGTTTGGATATTATGACTGCATAAAATGAGGTAATGTGATATGACTGTGATCCATCTGTCCCTACATGAAGCATTCAGCCGTGAATTCTATATTTTACACAGCGGCTCACATAGTGATTTATAGAGCGTAATACAAAATAACCTCTTGAGACACTTAGCGGAAGATTTATCAAAGTGTCACATTCTAAACAGTGTTAAAACAAAAACATGCCAACGTGTTTTGCGCAATATAAATGCAAATTGCATTTTTAAATTAGAATGTAATTTCTCGATTAATTGCTTTTAATTAATAAAACCACAACATCCAGAGTTTAATTTAGGTCATGTGTATTATTTGAGATATCAAAAGGCAGAGTATGGGTATGCCCTATAATTAAAATAAGGTTAAAAAAGCAGAAGTCAAAGAATAGACTCTAGGAAAAGAAGGGACTTTAGAATGAAAGAACGCCCATAACCAGGAGTACCAAAAGTAAAACCCAAATGTTTTTGAACTACAGTTTCCATGATGCTTTGTCATGCTAAAGGCAGCATGGGATTTCTAGTTCACAGACATCAGAGAACCTGTTTGGAAGCCTAAACATTCTGCACACAAGCAGGGTTGCACTTTATACATGTGCTGAATATGTTAAGAGGAGGATCCTGAGGTAGTTTTAAATATTCTGTAATATATTGGACTATCATGGGTTTACCCAAGTATCCTAAAATTACCCAAGTACCCTGGAGCATACATCACAACATTGGGAAGTAGGCAATAGGTATGAGTGGGTGGAACATCCAGGGGGCATTGCCAGAAATGCAACTTGTGTTACTGGTGGCACCCATGGTTGAATGGGTGGACCTTCCTAGTGTGGAACTGCCCATGAAGAGGACATGTCCATAAACTGAAGTAGTGTCAGCCTAGCATCAAGCACAAGACTTAGAGCATCCAGGTCAGCCTCTTACTTGCAGGAAGGCTTGCATTAAATGATGTGCATGTATCCTGCTAGCCGAAGACAGTGCCATATGCCTGACACCATAAAACAAAATAGGATGACAAGACACTATCCCACAATCAGGACTATCCTTTCAAAAGCGGAACTATTGAGAGCCATGCTGTTGTAGTATCCTGCAGACACAACCATCTACAGCTGTACCTTAAAAAGGCAGCAACAATCAAAAGTTTATGTTGCATTACCTGTAATGACAAAGGGGTCCAACTACAGCAATATAGTATTCTACCTGGGACAAACAATGTTTATATACATTTAACGGAATATATTGATTTGATATAGAATTGATATAGAATGTGTTAATGGAATACTCTAACGTTTTAAACACATATATGTATATATAACATTATAGGGCTACTAGTGCCAATAAAATACCAAGCCCCTCTTTACAAAGTAAAAACAAAGATAAACTCATCTCTCAACCAATGGCCACCACGCCGACTCCTTCTGAGATCATTACTCGGAAGACCTTAGGCCAATCTAATGCTCCTCAATGGGCAATCTATTGAGGGCCATTCTGTGCATGTTTATTTATAGGGGACTTTAACTGTGTTCTGAGTTGTAATGATGCAGAACGAGAAGACATTCAATTATTTAAAGTCTTCACCAAGAAGTGCCTCTAGTGGCTGTCTGATTGACTGATTGATTGATAGTCACAATAACAAACATTAATAATGCTATTTCTCTGAAACAGCCATGTTTATGTTTGCCAAAGTGTGTGGATTGCATTTAGGAACCAAGACTGTATTAAAGGGTAACTCCAATCATCTTAACCACTAGGGCCTACATGGGGTTTTGATATAAATTAAGCTAAGTTTTAAGTTTGATCATGTGTAATTCTAATTACAGTTGTACTTGCTTTATGCATATCCAGATATTCTACTGTAATTGATTTCTAAAAGGGACTAGAGACCATTGTATTCAAATAATTCAATTGAATTCTTATTTGAAAAGCTTTATGTAATTGTTTTAATAACCTTGCAGCACCATTTATAAACTTTTACAAGATATCAAAACAGTGAGATCTGCATCCAATTTTTTTTTATGTGTAGTGTAATTCTTTTTCATCATACATATATGTCCACGGTTATTGACTATTTAGGCTATCACAATCTCAGTGCAGTGTGTTCCTTGAGAAATAAAGTCACTGAGTGGAGACATCATGAGCGGGCGTCCGCAGGCGAGGCAAGGTAGGGGGCACTTGCCCCCACCCCCCTGGATTTTTCAGCTTGTGCCAATATTTTTCTTGTGTGATTCAGAATACACTGCAATACCGGTGCTGGCCAGTAGGTGGCGGTGTGTGGAGTGAGGCAGGGATAGGAAGCTACATCTTATCCCTGCTTCTCTCTGCTGACTGAATCCGCAGGGGGAGCAGCACATGAAGCCAACAACTCCCAGACTGCAGAGACAGCCTACAGATGAGGTAAGTGAGGGATGGGGCAGCCTATAGATCAGATAGGTGAGGGATGTGGGGGCAGCCTACAGATCAGGTAAGTGAAGGATGGGGCGCAGCCTACAGATCAGGTAAGTGAGGGATAGGGGGGTGACAGCCTACAGATCAGGTAAGTGAGAGATGGGGGCAGCCTACAGATCACGTAAGTGAGTGATGGGGGCAGCCTACAGTTCAGGTAAGTGAGGCCCGGGGGGGCAGCCTACACATTAGGGAAGAGCAGTGGCGTACACACAAACCATGGGGCCCCGGTGCGAAAATGACCCGTGGGCCCCCCCCTCAACAGACACACACACAGACGCATACAGACACAGACAAATACATACAAACAGACAGGCACACATATATACATACAGACACATACAGGCACACAGACACATACATACAAACAGACAGGCATACATACAGACACACACACACATACAAACAGACAGACAGACACACACAAGACACACATACATACAAACACACATACATAAAAAAACAGACAGGCACACATACACACAGGCAGACACAGACAGACAGACACACACACAGACAGACACATTAGACACACATACGTACACACAAACAGACAAGCACACACACATTCAGGCAGACACACATACATGCACACACACATACATACAAAGACATACATACAAACAGGCAGACACACACACACACACACACAGACACACATACATACAGACAGGCACACACATACATACAAACACACACACAAAATGTTTAAGTCACCCTCCTGTTTCCTACCTTTTTGTGCAGGAGGGTGACTTCCTGGGGTCCAGTGGTGGCTCAGGTGGATGGGAGTCAGAGTTCTCACTCTGACTCCCTGTTCTTCCTCCCGAGCGGCTCTCAGTGTTAGCTGGGAGGAATGATGTGCGGTCACTTCCTCCCAACTTGTGTTGTCATCACAGGGGGCCCAGTCGTGCTGGCCTGACAATCCATATCCATCGGGTGGCCCTGACAGCATGGGCCACCCGATGTACTTCTTGGACAGCGGTCCCGGCGGTTTGCCGTGTGGCCTGGGGCCGCGGAAGATGATGGCGGCGGATACCGGTCACAGGGGTCCACAGGGCGGCCGGGCCCCCTGGAGTGGTGAGCCCGGTCACAGCTGCGACCCCTGCAACCACGGTATGTATGCCACTAGGTAAGTGAGGCATTGGGAAGCAGCCTACAAATTAGAGTGAGGCATGGGGGCAGCGTACAGATCAGGTAAGTGAGGGAAGGGGAGACACGCTACAGATCAGGGAAGTGAGGCATGGGGGGCAGCCTACAGATAAGGTTGTGTTGCAGCACATACAGGTGGACTGGTATTAGGTTTGAGACCCAGACTTATTCAGCATTAGTCTCTTCTTTTAAGGTGAAATATACATGTTACAAAATGCCTTTTGTAACTGTTCCTTTAAATGACAAATTGCCCTGCTCCCCTGGATTATGGAGGAGCCTCTTTGCCAGCATCCTCCCCCATGACCATGGACCGGGTGTGTATGGCCCTTTAAGACAGTCGGTGGGCATATTGGGGCTTATGGACTTTTTACAGGACTGGTGCTGGCCCTTTAAGCACCTCTTTGGGGCATAGAGAAAATTGGGACACTGCCCCTTTAAGACGGTGTCCCCAGACTTGCTTGGGACACTGCCCCTTTAAGCCTGTGTCCCCAGTGTCCCCAGACTTGGTTAAAACCCTTTGTTCCTGGCTATTTCCCACTTGGTTCAGTAAATGGGGCTTACTGAACCAAGTACCACACAGGCCGACCACCCAGAAGTGGAAGTGTGCAGGCAATTTACCTCCCAGGTTGTGGGATTGCTGTAGGTAAATTGCCGAACGCTGGGTGGCTGCTGTTCGCGCAGACGAACACGTGGCAGCGCCATCTTTGTTCATTCAAATACGGTCAGCGGTGTGTGCAGCCAAATTCATGGAACTAAAATCCGCTGCACAATTCCGCGAACACCGCTGACCTGTACCTTCTCCCATAGTGAACTTTCAGCCGCAGAGACTAAGTCCCATTCGGCCTGAAATAGACCGACCGCACAGCACAGTCGGTCATAAAGGACTTCCGTCTAACTTTTTATCCACTGGAGGAATTTGTGTGATTTTTGGTTATGTTTATATTTAAAGTGTGCTGATTCTGAATATGTAATTGGATGTTGGACGAAGATTGGATGTATGGTTTTAAAGTTATAGTACATGTATAAAAACTGTATTATTCCTGCCTGTAGTAATTATGTTAACCATTGTGTGCCATAATTAGATCACAGGCAGAGGGGAGGATTTTGTGTGTAATTGCTGGGAGTGTTTTCTGTAATGTATTTGTTATTGGTTTTTCTGTAAAACACTGTGGGTGGTCCTATGTAAGGACTGTAATGTTATTGGTTGTTCTGTAAAATCCAGTGGGTGGTCCTATGTAAGGAAAACCTGCATAAAAGAAGGCCCTTTGGTGCCAAATAAAACAGAATGACTTGATCCTCCAACTTGCAGCCTTGACTCATGTTTGTAGGGGACAGCTGTAATCACTACAGGGATTGCTATGCTCTTCATACTCCCATAGCTACTGAGCTCTTGTAAGAGCTCTTGTTCCTGATCCTGCTTCGCTCTACAGAAGGAAGAGGTTCACCTACTGGAACCTGGAGCCTGGTCGTAGGTCCAGGGTGGATAGCAGATGGCGAGATCCTAGCCCAGTAGCGGCGGTTCATGGAGTCTGCAGTATTTATGGTGTCCACGTAGTAGTTATGGTGTCTACGGTGCTGATGGTCTTTGGGTGAGCGCTAGGAGCATCCTTTCTATGGTCCAACTTCCATCCAGCCTGGAGGCAACCGTAACAATATCAGAGAGCCAGACTCCTTTCAGCGCAATCTGATTCGTAGTTTCAAGAACACAGAAGTTCCTCCACAAATATTAACCAAACACAATATAGAAAATCCTCACCATTTTAAACTAGGTGATAAGCCATTGAGAGGTGTGGAAATGTCCGTTACAGGTTAGCCCTCTTTGGAGCTTCACCAATGACACATCTCCTACCACTGACGACTCCCAAACTGGACAAGTTACCAGACTAAATGACAGCTTGTCTGGCTGCCCCCCCTACATATAGGCATATAGGACCATGCAGAGAGCACTACTCTGTATGGCTCTAGTTTCCATTCACAAGTACTAATCTAATGATGCACTTGCGCTGTGCTGTATGACTCCAGGAAACAAAATCAGAATGGTAGGACAGGACCCTAAGATCGGAACAGTCCTGCTAAAAGCAGGACTGTTAGGAGGCATTTATTCATTATATTTGTGTGCATGTACAGTATATGTATGTATATATCTATCTATATAGATATAGATATAGATATATATATCTATATCTATATAGATAGATATATATATACACAGGGACAGCCTTAGGCAAATAGGCGCCCTGTGCGAAAAGTCTTCACGGCACCCCAGACCCACCAAGTTGCCTGTATACAGTCACACACACAGGCACAGGCAGACAGTCACACAAACAGTTACTAGCAGACAGTCAAACACACAGGCAGTCACACACACACAAAGGCAGTCACACACAGGAAGGCAGTCACACAGTCACACACACACACACTCAAGCAGGCAGTCAGTCACACAGACAGACAATCACACACATACAGGCAGACACAACACAGGCAGGCAGTCACACAGACAGACAGTCACACACAGAGGCAATCAGACACACAGACAGACAGTGGCACACACAGGCAGGCACACACACAGGCAGTCACACAAACAGGCAAACAGTCACACACACACAGGCAGGCAGGCAGTCACACAGACAGACAGTCACACAGGCAGGCCAGCAGACAGTCCCACAGACAGACAGTCACACACACACACACTGGCAGGTGGACACACACAAAGGCAGGCAGTCAGACAGTCACACACACAGGCAGGCAGTCACACACACACAGGCAGGCAGTCACAATCACACACACAGGCAGGCAGTCACACACAGTCAGGCAGTCACAGTCACACAGACAGTAACACACAGACAGGCAGTCACAGTCACACAGACAGACAGTCACACACACACAGGCAGGCAGTCACACAGACAGTCACGCACACAGGCAGGCAGTCACACAGACAGGCACACACACAGGGAGGCAGGCAATCACACACACACACAGGCAGTCACACACACAGACAGACAGTAACACACAGGCAGGCAGTCACACAGACAGACAGTCACACACAGACAGGCAATCACACACAGGCAGACCTTCACACAGGCAGGCAGTCTCACACACACAGGCAGTCACAGTCACACACACAGACAAACAGTAACACACAGACATGCAGTCAAAGTCACACAGACAGACAGTCACGTACAGGCAGGCAGTCACACACACAGGCAGGCAGGCAAACAGCCACACACACACAAACAGGCAGTCACACACACACACACACTTACCTCTTTCCAGTGGATGCAGTTGGTTGTTGGAGAAGCAGGGGCTACTTCCTTCTTCCTCCGCCCCCGACGTGCTTAATCCCCCCCCCCTCCTCGATTTTATTATTTTTTTTTTTAATAGACCGGGGTGGAGAATAATGAAATCCTCCACCCGGGTACCTGTTTTAGCTCCCCTGACACCGGGCATGAGCGAGCTGTGTCGGCCACATGGTGCCCCCTGCTCCATGGCGCCCTGTGCAGCCGCACAGCTCGCACACCCCTAAGTACACATATAACATTTTCATCATTTTTTTTCTATTGGATTAAAAGTATCTGCATCTAAACTGTGATGCTTTTTCAAAGATGATTTATAAAGTGACCTTGATTTAATATGTAACATGCAGAAAGTAGAATGATTTACTCTGCATTTGCACTATTGTGGACTTCTATAGTCTTGAATGACATGTCTACTTGACATTATAATTAAATCCTCAGCACACCATTATTCATTATGTTTTCAGGTCGGGAGAGTGGGTGTCTGGAATACATATCAGTATATCATGTCTTCTAGGAAGTAAGAGAAGATTTTAGAACAAAGCCACAATATTATTGTAATCTTTTCTTAACTTCTTTTAATTACAAACATTTATATTAAACATTAAATGTATAGCTAACATACCAAATTTGAATACTTAGAATAGAATATCATGTATAGATGGCTGCTCAAGCATACCTTTAACATTTACAGCAGGTAAATATACATGTTTTTGATTTTCCATATATTCTTTCTTTGCAGAAATATTGAAAAAAAGTAAAAATTATGAGTGATTATACTATACACTTGCCTTTGACTGTTTCATACAGGTTACAAAAATAGTATAGAAGAACAGCATGATAAAAATGTGACAAAAATGTAAATCAAAATAGGGAAAATATTGCTCAAATGTATTTGTAAGGAATTCTCTGGTATTTTTGAAAGAAACAATAACAAAATGCCAGCAGAATCTAAATATTATGATTGTATCTGAGCATTCTGTTCACCTACAGTAAGCACAGTTACATTGCCAGAACCAAACACCAATTACAGCCCCTTTGTATAAGACATATTAGAAAGTTATTTATCTTTCAAATAGTTTTTATTAATACATTTTTCAATAGCAATACAGAAGAGAAAATAATTATAAAAAATAAATAAAAAATGGGGCAATACAATGAATAACTATCATCCAATAATATTTTTTAAGTGTATATTAAAGAAGTACTATAATAGTAATATATAAGAGTGGTAAAATTAAAATATAATACGTGTCTTAAAAAGTTGGTATATTTGTTAAAGAAAATCAAAATAATTATATTTTAACATCCGGTCTGATGCAGGTCTAATGATAGACTTATAGGCCATATTGGCCCCTGACGGAATCAAGTTATTTCTCATGCTGAGACGAGGTGAAGGCAACTGGGGTTTATTGTGATATATTTTGATTCACATTAGTTTGCAGTAAAATATAATGCAAAATTAAACCACCAACATTATGCACCTTATGCACAGAAAAGAAATGTGTAAAGAAAAATTGATTATATGGAAAAAGAAAATAAATGAAAAAAAAAAAAATATATATATATATATACATATATATATATATATATATATATATATATATATATATATATATATTACTAATATTACTATATGTACATCCACTTGGCAAGGAGTGACCTATACCTGCAAGAATATCACGTTATAACCTACATCCAACTCCTCCATGTAAGGCTACCAAAGTATGTGTGTCAATGAATGTGTTTTTAACTTTATTAATTTTACAAAAAAAAAATTAACTAACTACGGAGACCAATGGGAGCAGTGACAAATGTAATCGTCTGAGAACATGTTGGAGTAATAGAATAAAATGTTCAGGTAACTACATATTTTGGTTAATATGTTTACCAATGTACAGTTAACAGTAAATGTATACCTACTTGAAGGTAACTTGACATCCTCAAGATTTGAGGATGACAGTTTCACTTTAAAATGTTGTCTTTAAAGATCATATATCAAAAATGGAAAGGCAGGCATATCTAACAATTGGAACACCGTATAAAGCTGCAAAACGCAAACAAGCAGGACATTTCTTACTAACACCAGGTGGGTCTTTAGGGACCAGACCATTAAGGTGTTAATCTTTCAAAATGTCATTTTCGCTCACTTTACTATTTTACCACAATGTATTAATACATGCAAACAATAAATATATATGAAATTGTTTTAGGCGTTATTAGTGTCTCTTTTTTGCTCTACAAAAGTGTTGATTTCACACTCTCAATCAGACTGATGGGAAGGTGCTAATCCTGAGAACTGTGTGCCCCAGTACAAAGGGGAAGTGAATGTTTCTCATACCAAAGCATTGCCAGTGAAGTGTGGCCTATTTCCCAATTAGTACTGATGATTTTCCCTAGCTACATTGAGAGACCCTCTCAATTAGAGGTACGCTAACTTTTTTTTGAATAGCATGCTGCTGATGCTCTCCGGGAATTCAATGAAAGCATAATCGGAAGCAAGCGCATGCTGCATGCCTAGTTATTCAATATGACCCTGCCACACTACCTAACTAATAGAGAGGTATGTAGCAAAGTTTTGTGCCTCAACACGGCTTGCTGATAGCTAGCTGAGGTGCACCACCCATGCCTCTGGAAGAGGAGGTGGTGCCTGGCAGAGTCATTGTACTAATTAGCTTTATACTTATAATATGTGGCTGACTTGAGAAGCTCCAGCCTGATGTAAAATTAAAAATAACAACAACACAAAATTATCTTCCTTACCTGTCCACTAACTGTAGAGATCCTAGGCTAAAGAGCCCCACATCCAAGGCTTTAGCTACCCAAGTCATAAACTAGCAATCACTATGGCCTGACCCACATTAACAACTGGTGCATGAATATCCTCTCAGCCTTCCTTTCATGTTCATTTAATAGGAGTGACCAATTTCTTCTTGTGCAAGGGATGGAACCACAAGAGTATATGTTATCCCTTGAATGCATTGCGTTTCCACTATAGTATACCATACTTGTGGACATGAATGTCATATGCTTGACATTTCTAATGTATTAATGCATGTGTCAATGGTTTTTCATATGGCTGCAAAGATCAGTTTCAGATGGACACAAAACTAGAAACACAAATTCCAAGGTTATATTTTGGGTTCATTTTGAGCTCCCTTAAAGATGAGCATCCATTCAATAGTTTCACATAAAGATTTTGGCTTAACACTTACCACACCCACTTCCTAAACATTAAAGCTGTTAATAATCCTAACTACACTTGATTACTGTATATTCTGACTTTTAAAGTCCAAGTATCACACGTAAAAAGCTGTATCAACGTGATTTCTATAAAAAGCCATAGCAGTTTAAAAACGTAGTTAAAAACTTTTTTTTCTTATAATGATTTAGGAAAATGTTTCAAAGTCATTTCATTATGTGCTAAAAGTGATCACATTTATTTTTGAAAGAAATGTGTGGAGTGATGGCTGCTAATTCGTTAGTGAGATATTTGTCACATCAATGAACCGCACTTCCATATACTGGGTGCAATAAATATGTCACTTAGCTATAATTTCCCAGCTCTCTTAATTAAAGTTTGACAAGGGCCCACTGAAAATTTACCTTTACACTGTATAACAGTGTTATGTCACATAACCATACAGATTGGGCCATTCGACACATACACCCTATCATTTTTAAAACATTTTGACACATTTACCAATGGATGTATTTGTGGATAATTGGCAGCACTTCAAGCCTTGCAAAGTCTACGCCTAAAGTCTAACACTTTACAAATACCTACAAAAAAGGGCCAGAGCTTGACTGTTAATTACCATTCTGATACTCAGCATGACATGAACACATACATATTTTCTTTAAGCAGTTTTAAAAACAGTTACTTTCAACTTGAGAAACATTGCAAAGGCAATAATATCAGTTTACAAATAGGAATGTAGATGTTACAAAGTTCCTTCACTGTCCAGTGGTATGGACTGCAAGTGGTACTAATTCCATGTTTCTCCATTGGTTTTATTTTTATTTTTTTTGAATTCTTTATTTTTGTTGTGCAGAGAGTTACAGGTTATCGACATACGCCACAACAGCGTGTTTGAAGATGCGTTTAGGTTTGACAGTGGCATGAGAGATTGCACATTTTTATATAAGTAAAACAACTTTAAGCCAAACAGCGAGAACGTTAGCATAAGATAGGGTGGTCCACGTTTAACATAGCTCGTTCATCTTTGCTAGTGTAGTTGTAGTGTCGTGATATGGTTTGCAATATAATGATATCTGGACCATATGTGTTGTATATACAGGTTGCGCTACTCTTATATATGCTTTGTAGCATGAAATTAAATTTTAAAGAACGAAAGAAAACGCTTAACAATTAACAATGCTAGAGCTTGCCTATAGCATAAGGTGTCATCATTACACATTCCACATGCTAATGCAAACAGTTGTGTGGTGAGCAATCAAGGAAACCTGCGTGGGTTTGAGTTAGTCTATGCGCCTTCATGCTTAATATGTAGTCGCTTGGTCTCGAGGAATTCCCTCTCTATGGTCCCCTATGTGAGTTGTTGGAAGGGATGTGCAGGGCTCGGTTACATACAGACAGTTGTGGGAGTTCATCTGAGTTATGAGAAATTAGTGAAAAAAATAAAGAAAAAGAAAAATAATAGAAAAAATTAATAAAAATAAAAGAGGTGATGAGTCCTTTGCTAGGCAATGAGTCCCAGTGCTGTGTGGTTCATCCGATGCCTTGTAGAGGCTCCCCTTGTGCCATCTGCTGCTGCTGTGATGTGAGCTGCGGTTCTCCCAGTCCGGTGATGCGAGGGTGGAGTGTCTGAGTGTAGGCCGGCATCTGGTGTGGTAGGTATGATGTGGCTCTGATAGAGGGCCCTGCCCGACTGTGTGTCTGTAGGCTGAGTCTGTGCTTGTGGCGTTGTGCTATTGCGGCCCCCATGGTGTACTTTGTGGTCTGCCGTTTGTTGATGTGAATGGGATGGTTCGTACCTCTCCTAGGCTGTTTCACGTCCGGACGGTGAGTTTGACTTCCGCGCCGCCTTCGTCCTGCAGCGCCCCCAGTATGTTTTACCTGGGTCCGGCTGTGGTTGCCCTTAGTGAGGCTTCGGGTCTTCGCTAGCAGGGCGGTCTTTCTCGGGAGCTTGTGGGGACCGGGTACGGAGCCGGCGGTGTATGCCGGTACTCCCATCCGGGTCCCTCGTGCTGGTTCTTGTGTCTTGCCATCCGGCTGGGCCTCCTGCTCCGAGGGCCACGCGAGTTTCTCCAGCTGCTCCCAGAAGGAGTCGAATATGCGGGTGAGCCGGAGCTCCGTGTCTCGTCCGGCCTTGTGGAGGGCCGAGGCGTGGTTGCCGTCCGCCATTTTGTCGGCCTTGTCTGCAGTTTCCACACCGCGCGGTTGTTTCGTCCGCTCATCTCCTTTCAAGGGGATCGTGAGGGGGTGGACCGGGATGACCCCCGCCGGTCCCTGGGGGGGGGAACGAGGGCTCGGAGGCCAGTACCTGGCTGGTACAGGCAGCGGGAAAGCGGCCGTCTTCCCCGCGCCCTCCCTGCTGGTAGGCCCCGTCTTGAGTCTGGGTGCGCCTGAGGGGCATCGTCGCTTGTGTGGTGTCTGTTTGTGCGCCCCATAGTCGCCTGTCGCTTGGTGGCCGTTAGGAATCAATTTAGTGCCTTTTTGGGGTCTTAAACCCGCTTTGGTTGCCCTGAGTTGCAGGAGCTGCTGAGACATGCTTCCTCACAGTTCAGCGGTCAGGCCCCGCCCCCCCATTGGTTTTATTTTACACATGATGAACCCAATGAGACGATACTAGGTTATGCCAACCATTAATGAGTTTTCATGGCCCTCTTGTTTTTTTTTTTGTATATTTAAAAGACAACACTCAACAAAGTGTTCTCTATGGTTCGTAGAGTGCTGTATTATATTTTTTCCTAACACAAATGTAATGAAATTATCTGACTTTTACTTGATTTTGTTTGCTTCAATTCCTGTACATTGATTTGCGTAACATTGTTGAACACGGGCTGTCTATTCAGATTACTGGTCTGTTCTACCACTGTCTGCCCAGAATTGTGTCACTGTTGTGGAAAGAATAGTTGGCTCAACATATCCAAGATCTCAGGTTGCAATGCTTGCTTAGAGGAACCACCAGGAATGGGGTAAAGGACCTCAAGATGAGGAGTTCACCAAGCAGGTGTGCAGTATTAGTATAATTGAGATTTCAGAGGTACTCAACTGGATTTGTTAACACGTATGGGGTTCCCTCTTGCATGTAGTCCCCTCAAAAACCAAATATAACTTCCCAGGATCTCTGGTAGAATGGCCTAATAGCATCCTGTACTGGTCTATTGTGTTTTACACAACACTGACACAAAATTAAGCACATTTGAGGGTACCAAGTGTAAGGCACCATGCTGTGCGTGTGTGAAGAGGGTGAAAATATGATATAAGGCCTTTTCTACCACCTGCCTAGTTCACGCACTTCAGAGCATTGCTTCCTTTAGGCTGTTTGCAATACCAATGAATTTCTTGGGAATAGAAAAGTATTAACTGCCAGGTTTAAAGAAACAGATAAACAAAAAGTGTAAGCTCGTGTCTAACTAGGCACTTTGTATAAAAGAGCTTCAATGGCTAGATCTCAGGCAGGGCCCTCTGCACCTTTTCTATTGGCCTGTGTATATAGTATTGGGTTTTTTTGTGTGTATTTTCCCCCAAATTCACAGAACTGTGGAATAGTTGGTGCTTTATAAATTCCAGTAATAATAATAACAACAATAATAAGAAGATCTGTTCCTGAGTCACATTATATGTAGATGCTTAGAATTGTTAACATGACTAGCAAAAGCAGGCTATTCACTCTGCTGGATATAGTTTTAAGCTTGACTATGGTAGGCTGACCTTGTAAAGGTAGGGTGGCTCCTCAGCCACAAATATTGAAAAGCAGGTGCATTCCTTCTGCTACATCAGCCCTTCCCTGTTCCTCAGATAGACTAATAATAGACACAGCGATTCATTGTTTATCAATGAGGATAATACCTGAGAATTTATAGACATAAACTGATATTTAACCTTTTCAATGCACAGTGTACTGACATGTCAACATTTTCCTCCTACCTATCAATTAAAAACTTCAATTCACTAAACCAAAAACTGTCAGGAATTCTGCAAATTTTAGGCTAAAATATTTGTTTTGAGAATGTTTCAATTCAGCAATTTGCAGCTAAAACGTACAATTCACTGTTGACTTCCCAACAATTTTAAAGTCAGTTAAATAAACTCTGCGTATAATGATTTTGGATACACAAAACAATTATCCAATAAAAATAATATGCAGGTGCTCTAAAAATTTCAATTTGTCGTAAAATGAGTTGCACTGTCAATATTTATGCTTAACAATTGTCTGTAGGCTGTTCATGAAACCAGGACAGCGTTGTTAAGCAAAACTCACCTACATCATAAATATCCGGGAAAAGCAACCATCAAATCACAGCCAATCAAAAACAATGACTTATGCCATGTCTGCAAACCTATTACCTCACAGGTTTGGCACAGTAACAAAAAACAAATCTCACATGTTCAAAACCACTGAAGTTTGCCATCTGAGACTAAGCAGCCTTATGCTGTCTGAACTGCTGATTGTATTCACATTACCATGTTTACCGATTCATTTCTATATCTTTGGTTTTTCAGACATTTCAGTAACATTCCAAAGGGTACAGTAGTTATAGTGTAACCTTTAGTGTTATAGATAGTTCTTTATTCAAGGGTAAATTGTGTGTCTAATTAAAAGCAGCATGTTGGAAAATAATCACAAAACAATAAGCTTGGCATGATTGCCTTAATAAAATATATTGTGTTTTTTGCCACAAGCCTTCCTGACGTACACACATAAAACAAATATTTGCAGTATAGCTCAGTTTCTTTCCCCACCATAATTTATAAACTTGTGCTAACATTCATTATGCATTCAAAGTGATGCAAACTTAAATTTAGTCTATAATGCTCCACTTTTCTCCTTCTTGCTCCAGCACTAGCTTTCACCTTGAGAGAAATGAAAGGAACACTCCAAACACCATTACCACTACTGTGGTAATTATGGTGCCCGAAGTGAAGTGGTACCCTAGTACAGGGGTTCCCAATTAATTTTTCCTGTGGAACCCTTTGATAATGTGTATCAACGTCGTGGAACACCTTCCCACCCCTCCCCCACCCCCCCCAAACAAGAAAATAAAAAATTGTGCAGTTTTTTGTATGTTTAGGTGTGTGTCAAGGTGTGTATCTGTGCTTGTATGTGCCAGTGTGTGTATGATACACAGATACATACACACACACTGGCACATAAATACACACACCTTGACACACAGTGCGTATCTGTGTGTGTGTGTGTGTATGTATGTTGTACCGGTGTGTCAAGGTGTGTTTGTATGTGTCTGTGTAACAAGGTGTGTGTATCTGTGTTTGTATGTGCCAGTGTGTATGACTCTGACACACAGATACACACACTGGCAGATAGTGGAACACAGATACACACACTGACACAGATACACACACCTTGACACGCAGTGTGTATCTGTGTGTGTGTATGTATTGGTGTGTCAATGTGTGTGTATCTATGTTTCAAAGTGTGTGTATCTGTGTTTGTATGTGACAGTGTGTGTCAAGGTGTGTATATCTGTGCTTATATGCACCAGTGTGTATCTCTGTATCAGTGTGTATCTGTGTGTGTGTGTGTGTGTTTGACACACAGATACACACACAGGCACATAGTGGCACACAGATACACACTGACACACAGACACACAACTTGACACACAGATACACACACTCAGATACACACTGACACACACATCTTGACTCACAAATACACACACACTCAGATACACACAGTGACATATACACACACTTGCACCCACAGAAACACACTGGCACATACACACACTGACACACTCAGACACACATACTCTTTGACAGACACACATACACTCTCACGGACAAACACACATACTCTTTGACAGACACACATACACTCTCACGGACAAACACACATGCTCTTTGACAAACACACATCCACTGTCACTGACAAACACATACTCTTTTACAGACACATATACAAACACATATACACTATCAATGACAAGAACACATACATTCTCCCTGACAAACACATGCACTCTCACACAATCACTGACAAGCACACATTCACTCTCACTGACAAACACACACATAGTCTTTGACAGACACACAAACATATTCAAACTTCATAACAGACACACATACAATGTTATTTTAATTTTTTAATTTTTCATCCACCCTTCCCCCCTACCTTTAGGATTGCTGGATGGAGTTGCTGTGGTCCAGTGGGGCTGCTGGGCAGCTTGCTAGCGGTCCCTGGGGTCCAGTGGGGCTGCTGAGTGGCTGTGATGTACTGCTCTGCTCCCTTGTGCGCCTCTTAGTGATGCCAGAGCTGGAGTGACGTCATTTTCCGGCTCCAGCATCACTGCTGTGCACGCGAGGGAGCTGAGCAGTGATATCACTGCTCCGTCCCCGCCTGCAACTATTTTATTTTTAAAACTTTTGGTGGATTCCCAATTGGGAAACGCTGCCCTAGTAAAAGCAGTCAAATCATTTGCTAATGGTTTACATTTTTACCTTGCATCTGTCAGGCACTACTCCCTGCCTAAGATAAGTCCTGCGCTCACTCCCATCACTACTGGGCCGGCAGTAATGACTACAGTACACATCAACCCCGATATATAGTAAAACCAAAGATCTATCATTAGAGATATCTTTGCCAGAAGCTCAAGGAAGCAGGTTGAAGGGTCAGTGTTAGGACCCGCTTTAGTGGGGTCTGCCTTGACATTGGCAGGCGGGCATTCCCTCCAATGGCCATTGGAGCAACTAAATGACCTCCATTTGTCTAAATATACATAGGGATTAAGGAGAGAGCGCAGGTAACTTTCTTTTCTTTGGTTTTTACTATATATTGGGGCTGATGTGTACTGTAGTCATTGCTGCCGGACCAGTAGTGATGGGAGTGAGCGCAAGACTTATCTTTTTGTATTTGTATTTACTTTGTATCACACAGCCTTGTTACAATGCTGCCGCCCATCCCATGTGTTCCCTATTAAGGGTTAATAAGTATATAGGGGTGTATATAAAAAATACCCCTCTGTCTCATTAGAGATATCTTTGCCAGAAGCTCAAGGAAGCAGGTTGAAGGGTCAGTGTAGGACCCGCTTTAGGGGGGTCTGCCTTGACGTTGGCAGGCGGACATTCCCTCCAATGGCCATTGGAGCAACTAAATGACCTCCATTTGTCTAAATATACATAGGGATTAAGGAGAGAGCGCAGGTAACTTTCTTTTCTTTGGTTTTTACTACTCCCTGCCTCTCCACCTCTCTTTGCTGAGCGGAGGCCTGTAAGTCACCCTCAGCCAGTGAGCAGGCCCAGTGTTTTAGGGCTAGGTTAAGGAAATCTAACGGAAACTCTAAAGATAAGAACTAAATATAGGAGTTAAAGGAAGCTATGAAGATACAAGGTAAGAAGTTAACCATTTACAAAAGCTGGTATTGGTAATGGTGCTTGACATGTTCCTTTAAAGGGTTAATCCTACCACCATGACCGCGTCAGTGATTTTAAGTGGCTGTGGTGGTAGAAGTTAGGATGCACTTATACTTCTGGTGCAGGAGCTACTCATCAATGAGCCAGAGGAATTACAAGAAGAAAGTCTGGAGACAAGAGGAAGCAATCCAGTATTTTCTTCAATTAATGTGTACTGTTTTCCTGCATCTTCTCCACCTTGGCTAAGTCCACCTCTGTTGGTTTTGAGTCACCTCATCTATCATGAGACAGTTGTGACATCATCTGTGCCTGATAGCACTAGCACAAGTAGTTCACTCACTGTCGTTGTGATTATCCCCAATAGTGAAGACCTAGGTCCACCTGGAGTACATGTGCATAGGGCTCTGCCAACAGCAACAGTAGAAAAAAGGAGTTCAGCAAAATCCCAATCTCATTAAAGCAATCCTTTATGGTGTCAGATAAATGGGTAACGTTTTGGTCACATCCAGTCTTTATCAACTGTCTCCTTATTTGGAACCCTTATGTGGGATTACCATTTTTAAGAATACCTAATTATTAAGCTATCTGCTAAACAGCGTCCTTTTTGGGAATATTGGAACTCTGAATTATGAAATTTAACAAACTTTTTCCTTAATTTGTGTTTTGTTCCAGAGTAATAATTTTCACATTTTGGACAAACCGAAATCTGAAAATTAACTAATTAATAGGAATGAAACAAAGCTTTTTTTTTCTCCTGTGCTCATCACTATCAGTGACCATCCTTTAGTGTGGAAAAAACAATGCCCTGTCACCAGCTTCACCCAAGCATCTTCAGAAGTAGTAGGTACCTCAAAACTCAGAGAGGGTGAAACATCTACAAATGCTAAGAAAGTAGTAGAGCAGCATCATGAGTAATTTAATTTAAAAAAATAGGTGATTTTTTAAAAAAACATGAAAGGAAAAAGTAAAAGGGGGCGACTAAATTTTACCTTTCATGTTCTTTAACCTATGCCACCCATTCATTTTTTGAATAATTTCCTTTTTTTCAACTTAATATGTCTCTTGCTGCAGCTGCTCCCCATTATTCATTAATACACGCTTTCAAAGGGAAAAACAATCAGTCATCATTATAAAATAATTATATAGAGTCCTCTACCTTATTTTTTTAAATAGAGATATAATATAATTATGACAAGTTGACAGTTCAGACTTGGCATAGCAAAAATGTCTGATATTGCCTACCATTAAGAGGCAAAATTGTTGCCAACTTTGCAGCACACTCATAGATGCCTTAGTTCCTCATTTTTTGTTGTGCCTGAGTGTTTCTCAATGGACAATGGTGAGCTAAGTTGTACCGTCACATAAACCAGCATTGGATGTTCTGAGCCGAACATAAGTCTAATATTATTGCAAGTTTGTTAACACATCAACAGACAGCATTTATGGTTTAAAACACAGCCATGCTGCAGTCTTCATTTATTCTATCCTCATACCTCTGAAGACAGTGATGATGTTATTTAACTGTAACTAGAATAAATGAAAAATCATCCAACTAGGGGTAACTCCACTTATATTTGTCGTATTTGTAAATGCATTGTGGTTCATTTATTGGACAGCAGAAAAAGCCACATGCACATAAAATAAGCCAAGCCTCAGACATCAGAAAAAAGTCAATATAATGTATTAAACCCGCCACAGGCTGACTTTAGTTTCCATTGGAATTTATATTCCCCTGCCAATTTAAGGAGCCTTCACTGAACTGTAATTGGTTGGTTACTAGAGCCAATGTTCATTACCATGCAAGATGAATTTCTGAATGGCTTGTCTGGTGATGTCAACTGCTTATAGCACCATTACACATAGTATTTTACTGCTATGCCAACTGCATGCTGATGGCATAGCAATAGAACCCAAGAAAATCAAATTTGTAATAACATCAAATCTTTATATTATTCAGATTCATATTTCTCCAAATCATTGTAGGCACCATTATCATAAAATAGAAAAATTGGTTTATTTTCTACATGACTTTAGAGCCTTCATTTTAAATTATGCCTGCTCGTTCTAATAATATGTGGTGTCACTTTAAAAGAACATAATATTTAATCTAACCATTGTGCTAACCAAAAATCTGATAATTGTGTAGATATAAACATATTTTATGTATTGTTAACTATACTGCAAGTGAAATTATCAGAAATGTGGCTTGTATTATACCAGCTTAAAAAAAGTGTCAGTTCAATTTAGCCCTACTGAAATTAGAAAACTTACATATAAAATGATCATGGAAAAAAATGTATTAAACACCTTAATTCCATTTTACATACGCACACATTTCTAAATAGAAAGTATACTATATCAGATATATACACACTTTTGTGTAGGACAGGAGTGGCCAACTGGTATCGCTTATGATACTGAACTCTCATGATTCTTAAGCATCGGGTATTTATCCAAATTCAGGATGAGGATAAGAAAAATTGTAGTTCAGAAATAGGAAGAGTTAACGATTACATTTACTTTTTTCGGTTTTGGGGTTGATTTTTTACTTTTCATAAAACGCTTAGTAATGTGGTTAGGGGAATGTAAGATTTAATGGTTCATAAACCAAAACAATCACATACTTCAATAAACTTTTAAAGGAAAGGTGCACTGAAAAATGCCAAGCCTGACTGCAAATCACCAACATATATTATGCAAGTTAAAACCAGCTGTTTTATGAAACATGTTAAAAAGGAGCATCTCTACAACTTCTAACAGAATATTATTTCATTTAATTAATTGTAGAAATGTTCATATTTAATTGAAGCAAGAGTGTGTTGAGAGAGAGGTGAGTCAAGATGCATCAGATTCAAGAGAATTTAGCTACAACTTGGCTCAACTTGGGTAGAAGTAAAGGACAGTTTTAGCTCTCATGTCTCTCCATGGTTTACAGGTGACAACGGTCCTGACTTTACCAGGACAGTCGTGCATTTTGAGGTTCTGTGATCAGAAAAATGGGTCTTGCTTTTTCATCTCTGCACTTCAGTTCAATCTCACAGCAGATTATGCTATGCACGAGGGGACAGGGCACTAAGCTGAAAACATCCAGCCATTTTAAAATGAATGTCATTGCAGCACTGAAAGTTGTTTGAATATAGATCCAGCATATCAACAATGGAATAGTAGTAGAATGATCATCCAAAGTAGAGTTGTTATTGACTCTATCATGTATAATGCTCTGCCAAATTAATAGTCCACAACCTATCATACACTTTCAGTACAGCATACTTGTGGTATAGTATGGTACTACTGATCATAAGCCCTACATCTTCCCAAAGCATCATAGCCTCACCTTAGATGCCATGTTTCAAGTTTTCCTTTTAAACATATCACCTTTATGTCTCTTCCATACCTTACATCCCATCATTTCGTTAAGGTAATATCATTACCAGTCAACTCAAAACAGTCCCTCAACAGTTTGACATCATGACTAGACACATCCCAAAGCAGATATGAATTCTAACCAGCAGGTTTTAGCCTATAAGCCAAAAACACTGAACATGGAAAAGATATACTATCTTGCCATATGGTTAATTGTCACATAGGTCTCTGACATGTTATAGCACGTGTGCCATCATCTGTACCATTTGCCTAGGAGACTGGTCCAATATGGAATATCTGGCAGGTTATCTTTGCATGAGTGATACAGTCAATCCAATACAGCTGTACTTACCTTGATTAGGAAATGCCTAGTAACCTTAGGATGCTGTATCTCTCATAGAGAGAAAACCTACCAGATAATTTGACTTTAGAATATGCAGGTTGGTAAATGTTCCCTCTGAAATGGTACTGGTGAACTAAAGCCTGTCTCCTTGCTGCGTAACTGACCAAGGCAAGCATCTCTTCTCTGTGTAAGACTTTTACGGTATTTTGTTTTTGTTGCAATATTAGCATTTACTGCAGCCAGCAACGGACCCAGTGGATTGGCTTTAGCATTCCCCGAACAGAGGGGTAGGGAGGAGATTTAAAGCTAACTTATTGGGTTCTGCAGTTATTTATTAAATATAACACAAAAAAGTGCCTTTTCCAAGAGCCATTATATGCAGTGTCTGATGGAAGATGCCATTATATGATAGTGGCAACTATAGTAGACACTACTAATTTCAATGTAGTACTAGTCAGATTTGATTTAAAAAAAGAAATTTGCCAGCCAAGTTTTAAAATGTTTAGCCATCCAGAAACTTAGTTCACCAATTACTTGCTTGAAAGTAAGTCGAGAAACTGGGGCTTATAGCTGGGGAAATATGCAATTAGGTTACAAGTAATGAGTTACCAGGCCACGTAACAGTTGAGTAAATTATGTTACATGCTTAACTATTAACTACGCTTTACAACTATACTTAAATTTTCTACTTATGCATGTCCTCAGTTTTAATGGTAACATTAAAAAAAGTGATAATAATTCTCTCAATCCTATAAAAATGTAGTAAAATGAGAATGGTGAGTAATTACATGAGTAATGTTTATATTCAAATATGAAAAAGTATAATTTTTACTAACATACAGTAAAAAATGACAATATCACCAGATTTATTTACAAAAATTGTTTCGGAAACATGTGCTTCATTCATAAAAGTGGACCTTAAATGCATGTCAGGATGTCTAGGTCCCCTTGTGTTAGGTAATACCAGGATAGAAACACAACACAGCAAACTGCGAGTTGTGAGATAGGTGTATGCAACTCACTTCATCCACAAATATTGTACTTTACATATTCATATGACAAAGTCAGAAATATCACATTTTACATAGTAAGTATAATAGATAATATATTATATATAACAAATGATACTCTTTCAAGTGTAATTTAGCCATTTTAACATAAGTATACATTTTACAACAATCTTTGCTGGAGTCTCACAACATTTGGTTGATTTTGATCAGACTCCAAGCATTCTTTAGTGTCCTCCTAAATATTAATTGGAACATAATGAACAAATAACTTCAACGCAAAACTTTGCAGTTTTACTAAAATTAAAAATACTAAATGACAAATAAAATTAAAAAACCTGTAAAAATAAAAATAAACTAAATATTTTGCTGTCTTAAAGAATGTTATTTTCAGCATAACGTTCCCCGGCCTTTGACAATATTTGATGTTCTCAATATAACATTGCCTACCTTAGCCAGGGAAACATTTTATTTTTTATTTTCATTTTTATTTTAAATAAAAGGGTTTATTCAGGTTTCTGTAAACCTTCATATGAAAGAAGAAAAAATTTCACGCCGTAGGCCAAAATAGCATAACTGAACTCATTCTCTAATTTAGGTAATTTCCCAGTTTGTGTTGGGTTATAATTTGCAATTCCCTTGTCAATTCTCCACAATCCCCAGTTAAGTGAATAAACCCCAGAGTGTTTCTTTAACCTTTTCCATAGCGTGTTTCTGCTCTCACATAGTAAATGTTTCTCTTACCAAGTACTAAAGCCAGCAGCAGGTGCTCGGTGACAGGACGTCCATCAATCGGTGCCTGCCCAACACACATCAGGAGCCACAGGCGGGCAGGCAGAGGAGTGCTGCCTAAATATCCAACAAGAGAAACTAACAATCCGCAGGAGTTGCAGATTCCACAGAACAGAACATGCAGCCACCAAAACGTAGGACTTAAAGGCAGAGAGAGAGAAACAGCCTGTGCAGTGGAGCAGATAGGGAGGTGACTGACTGAGCTCACAGCTCCTGTCCCATGCCCCTCCTCTATTTCTCCAAATAACCCAGTCTAGCAGCACTTCCCAAAACTCACTGTGTGACCTAGCAGTAAAGAGATTGCACTGTGCTCCTCTGTCTCCAAAACGTATCCTGTTCCGCAAGGTCTCTCTCTTTATTTTTTTAGTATAGATTGCAAGTAGTAATTGCTATGTTACACATTACACTTTTATTTTGCAGATAACCAAATAATGAAATATTTCACCAAGTATTTTTGAGAGATGACATCTGAAAGCCTTTCGCGTGCCTTTCGCGTGCCTTTCGCGTGCCTTTCTACTGACTATACGATTATACTGATAATTTGAGAGAATTCTTTAAAAAAAATAAAATAAAAAAAGGTGGTTTTAAATGTGCGCTGTCTCGGCTCTTACTATTACGCAGCACTGATTTCTGTAACACTGTTCAACGTATGTTGAATATTTCATCAAAAATGTAATCAAAAATTTGAATAAAAAATGTTTAGCATTAATAAGCCTACTTTTCCGGTATTGATTTCTTTGTAAATTCATATATTCTTTATATTTCATTCTCCAAACTAAAAAAAAAAAAAAAGCTCTTAGCTACAGCTGTTCATGTAATGAATTAATGATTGTGTTTTTTCCAAGATTTCATGTGTTCTTGATTGAGGCTGGTTTGGCACTTTTACTGTGTGCTTGGTGTAATTTCCAAGTTTCTTGTTAAGAGTTACAATTTTTAGAATAGTTTTTTTTTTTTTTTTTTTATCAATTAGGCTCCCAGAGCAGTTTGACTTTTAGTTTAACTTATCTTATCAACAAACTGGAAAGCAGTGGTTTACATGTGTGTAGTGTGATGCATGCACTTATACATAACCACACACATAGTAATACCCATACACACACATGCACATTCAGATACACTGACACACATACACATTGACACACATACAGATGCAAGCACTGGCACACATACAGATACACACATACACAGGTACAAACAGGCATATACACAGACACACAAAGACATAAGGAGAAACACAGACACACAACTGCACACACTGACACACACATCCAGATACACACTGGCACACATGCAGATACACAGATGCACAGATTTAAAAATGCACATACAATAGACACACACTAAAACACATCCAGATACACACACACACATGCAAATACACAGGCACACAGATGCACACAATAACACAGGTACATATGCAGACACACATACAGACACAGATACACATGCAGATATGCATGCAATTACACATTTCAAGCTAGTCTCCTGTTTCATACCTTTAGGGTGCATATGGGTGGCTTTCCTAGGGTCCAGTGAGCTGTCTGAGGCTGTTGGGAGTCAGAGGCTCTCCCACCCCGCTCCTCCTCTGCCTTCCTCCCGTGTGGCTCCCTTAGCTGGGAGAAAGTGTCACTTCTTCCCAGTGCTGACATTATTACAGGGGGCCTGCTCACACTATTAAAGGGCAGCAGCGCTGTCATTGCAATCAGGTGGCCCTGCTGCACAGGCGTAGTTCCACTGCTGTCTCTACCTACAGGTCTTCACAACCAGGAGATAGCACAGCCAGAAAAACATTTCTAAAAATCTGCTACTGGAACCGCTGAATGGACCAGGCAAGTCACACAGCTCCTAATTCAATTACCACACATTTCTTTATTTCCACCCAGAAATAGTCCTTAATAACATTTTATTTAACTTATGGTGCACACTCAATGAAATACATAAAACATAATCATAATAATAAAATAGCTGGGAGGGCACATCCAACCACCTTTCCCCCAGCCCTCACCCATGAGTGGGAGCTATTTTATAATCAATGCCATGTCCATAGAAATGTGATAAGGGGAAGTTGATATGTCATTGTCCCCGCCAAGGCTAGTTTTATCTCTCATCTTTCACGGGACTAGCCAGGGAATATTCCTACACACATGATTAACCCTTGTACTCTTGAGCCTTTTTTGCAACTATTATACTTTGTATAGGTTTTGGATGTGAAAAGAACTGATTTTAAACCATACACTGACATCCGGCCAGCTGGTGCAGATTCAGTTGGCTGGCCAAATTTCAACCATAATTACCTTTAGTAAATCTGAGAATTGCCATTCCAGTCGGAATCTGCTATTTAATGAATAGCGTCAAACTTTGTAGCTACTTCTAACCCTAGCTATCTCTAAATGTAGCTGACCCTAACACTACTTTACCTTAGCTAACTCTTACTCTAGGTAATTCAATGTATCCCTTACTAACCTTAGCAGTAAGGGATAATAGCATTTCTATAATTAACCCCAATAGATCCCTGCTAAACAGTGTTAAAAGAATACATTCATTTGTTTTAATGAAACAGTTTAATAGATATACCCCCATAGAAAGCATGCATGTTTTTTTCTGCATGTTTTATTTGGGGGTATATGAAAAAAAAAAAAAAAACAGTTTGTGTAAGCTGCAGATCTACTGTCTGAAGCTTTTGCAAGCCCTCTCTTCTTTCCCTAACATAGACTTTCAGTGTCACACTGGGGAATACAACAATAAATACCAGATAATGGAAATCCAGGCCCACCTGGAGTGAACGAGCAAAAGGCTCTGCCAACAGCAGCGGTAGAAACAGAAGGATTATTGCACAGTCTCAACCTCAATAAGGTGATCCTTTATTAATGGTGTCTGATAAATGGGTTTCTCTGACACAATATATAAAGGATCACCTTATTGATAATGGGACTGTGCTTGACTCTTTTTACTGTTGGGGAATACACCAATCAGAAGCTCCTTATTGAGAATCCACAAGAACATATGATGGTGATTTTCCTAAGCCTCTCAATGCACTAACCCGATGGCCTGCCAATTATGTTAGCTCTGTGCATCTACCAGAAGCAGAAATCCTGTCCCCAAACTATGAAATTATAAGGTACGCGTTTTAAACCGTTTTGTGAAAAGGGACATGTTCGTCCGCAGGAATTTAATTGCAATGACATCCATGCTTGGCCCCTTTTTTACAGTGTCATGATGGGGAGGAGCATAGTCAATATCACATAAAGCCAGGGTGACCAGATTTTGGAAATTAAAAACCAGGACATCCATTAGGTAAGGAGACAGAGAAATTGGCGTGATCGGGGAGGCAGGATACGTAAATAGTGTCTTCACAACATGTTTTTATTCCTGACACTATGGTGTTCCTTTAAGAAAATTAAAGGAACATTCTGGTCACCATAACAACTAATCTAAATGACAATGCTGTGATGCCAGGAGGCCCCAGGGTGCTCTATTTCCTTTAAGGGGTTAAACAGCCTTCAAATGGTTTACCCCAAAGCCTTTCCCCAGTTCTAGATCTCCAGGTCCCTCAGTGATATTTGGCTTCTGAAACGGAGTGTCAGGAAGTACAAATTGACCTTAGGCATAGGTGCCGCTGATTGGCTAGAGTGGTCAGCTGACGCTCTAAGCCAATCTCTAGTTCCCAGTTCATAAAAACGTTTTACTTTTTTATGAATGGGGAGCTACTGATTGTCTTAGAGTGCCAGCTGACCACTCTAGCCAATCAGCAGGACCCCTACCCAGCGGCATTCAGTGCTTCCTGACACTCAGTAAATAAAAGTGAACACATTAACACTGATATTTTTTTACCTGGGGAGATGAGAAGGGCCAAAGTTTCCCTGCCAGGCCCAGGTACCAAAGCCTTATGATGTGGTGTCCAGAATGAAGTGGAGGGATCACTTCACTTGTCCTTCTTACCCCAGTCTCCTTTTCTTCTCCTTCATTTGACACAGTCTTCTTTTTCTTCCAACACGGTCTTCTCTCCTCCTCTGCTCCTTCACCTTTCTGCTACTTTCTACTTCTTTTGTGCCCTTCTGCTCCTTTCTCCTTCTGACCCTTTCTGCTCCCTGCAGGCCATTCTGCTCCTTGCTGACCCTTTCTGCTCATTTCTGTTTCCTTTCTGTTCCTTCTTCTACTTTACCTTTGTGCTCCTTCTGCCTCTTCCACCTCATTGCTTACCCTTTCTGCTTCTTGCTGACCCTTTCTGCTCCTTCTCCTGCTTTACCTTTGTGCTCCTTCTGATTCTTTTTGCCCCTTTATCCCTTGTTCTCCTTCTGTCCCGTCCTGCTCCTTGCTGCCCCTTCCTGCTCATTTCTGTTTCTTTGTGCTAGTTCTCCTACTTTACCTTTGTGCTCCTTCTGCCCCTTCCAGTTGCTTGCTGACCCTTTATGCTCCTTGATGTCCCTTCCTGTGCATTTCTGTTTCTTCTCCTTTCTACTCCTTCTGATTCTTTCTGTTCCTTTACCCTTGTGCTCGTTCTGTCCCTTCCTGTTCCTTGCTGACCATTTCTACTCTTTGCAGACCCTTCCTGTCCATTGCTGTTCCTTTCTGCTCCTTCTCATACTTTACCTTTGTGCTCGTTCTGCCCCTTCCAGCTCATTGCTGACCCTTTCTGCTTATTTCTGTTCCTTCTCCTACTTTACCTTTGTGTTCCTTCTGTCCCTTCCTGCTCCTTGCTGCCCCTTTCTGCTCCTTGCTGCCCTTTCTCGTTCCTTGCTGTCCCTTCCTGCTCCTTCTCCTACTTAACTTTTCTGCTCCTTGCAGCCCCTTCCTGCTTCTTGCTGCCTCTTTCTGCACCTTCTCCTCCTTTATCTTTGTGTTACTAGAAGAGTTAGATAATCTACTAGATGAGGAAATAGCTAAAATGACAATGAATGGGAAAGTTATCATCCTGTGTGACTTTAATCTTCCTGATGTGAACTGGAAATCCAAAATAGCTGTTTGTGCCAGGAGCACACATATTCTAAACTTCCTACTGGGATTGTCTCTAAAACAACTCGTTGACTAACCAACTCGTAAGGAGGCCATATTAGATTTAGTGTTTACAAATGGAGATTTGATATCAGATATTACTGTAGGTGAACGTTTAGGATCCAGTGATCATCGGTCAGTGTGGTTTAATATAAGAACAGTGACTGAGTCACACCACACAAAAACAAACATTTTAGACTTTAGAAAAACAGACTTTTCTAAAATTAGAATATGCGTAAAGGAGTCCTTGTCAGACTGGGGCAGTTTAAATGGAGTCCAGGAGAAATTAGATTATTT